TAATAATAATAAACGAAGGAAAAACAATAGAGACCTTCCAGTTCATACTGGCTCGGTCCCTAATAATAATAAACGAAGGAAAAACAATAGAGACCTTCCAGTTCATACTGGCTCGGTCCCTAATAATAATAAACGAAGCAAAAACAATAGAGACCTTCCAGTTCATACTGGCTCGGTCCCTAATAACAACTTTATTAACTTTATTAACATTAACAAAATTAATAATAACAACTTTATTAACTTTATTAACATTAACAACAATAACAACATAAACAACTTTAATAACATTAATAACAGGAAGTGAAGTGACCATTATCACCTTGTAGAGTTCAGTCACTGAGGAGCACAAGGAGGTTAGCTGGTTCTGGTCTTTATGCTAAGCTAAGCTAGCTTGTGACTAACATGTGACTGAAGTTCATTAAGTGAAATATTTTCTCAGATCAGTCTTCCTTCATCCCGCAGAAAACAACAGTGAACTTCCTCCTCCTCCTGTCCTTCAGGGCTGGTTGGGGGAGGATGGGGGAGGATAGGGGGGCGTCTGTGAGACAGTGAGGGCCTTGTGACCATGTTGAAGCCTGATGAAGTCTCTCCTAGCAACCAACACAAAGTCCATTCAGGCAGAGAGGACGCTGTCCAACTGACCTGGAGTCTGAAAGGAGCCGAACGGCTCAGAAACACCAGGAGAGGAGGGGGCGGGGGAGGAGGAGGAGAAGGGGGGGGGATGGACAGCATCGTGTCCCCTCTGAAAACTGAAGTGTTTAATTATTTAAAGTTCAATATAATTTTAAAGTGTGAAGTTTCAAACAACAATTTTTTCAGTATGTTAATCGTCTCATACGGACACTTAAGTACTGCGTGCGTCCGTATGAGACGAGACAAAGCGTCTGAATCTGTAATAAGACTACATACAAATCGTTGTAATAACAAGCTGCAGGCGTCTCAGGTAAAAGTGTTTTTCTCACCATTTTTTTAGTAAAAACTTGATATTTTCTTTTATGAGAATTTTAACAATTTTTTAAAATAATTTTTAATCTGTGAAAACTTTTGTTTTGGTGAAAAAAAACACAAATCAACACGATTCTTACAGTCAATAAAGTAAAATAACATTTTATCTTAATGTGTGTTCATCTCCAAATAATGGAGGATGATTGTAAATTATTTATTATTATTTATGTAGGCGTAGAATGTGATTCTTTTGTGTTTTTTATATAAACATTTTTTTAATATATGTTTTCCAGAAATTGCTGATTATGATCTCACTAATGATTCATTTTTATTCTTCTGTGTTCTCCAGAAGGCGTACAGCATCGACCACGAGCCTCCACCAAAGCAATACTGTGTGAAAAATGGAAAGCACCCAAACGGCAGAGGTAAGTTTGTCCCTCTCAGGTTACCGTCTGACTGACTGAAGGCAAGTCCGCCATGTTGAATCGCCATGTTGCTACAGTAGCTCAGAACGGACAAACCAAACACTGGCTCTAGTCTACCATAGCTTCTCCCTCATGCAAAGTGAAGCGATTGAGTCGCAATCTGCAACTACACTCCTGCAAACTGGACCTTTAACCACAACCTCTGAGGGCTCTTCTACACAACTGTCTCGTTGTTTTCTTTGTTTTTATGACCACAGGCTTCTTTCTACGCTAATGCAGCTGTTGTGAACATGAATAGACGATAACTCCTCTGCTAATGTCCAGATGTGGACTGGTTCTACTTTTTTGAACGAGATGTTAATCAGTGAGCTTTAGAGCTGCTGGATGCTGTTAGCTATGGACAGAGCCAGGCTAGCTGTTCCCAGTGCAGGTGTTGTGTTGTGTCCTGCAGGTGTGTTACAGGAGTATAAATCCCTCAGTGTCTCCAGAGGGCGCTCTATGCTGTCTCATAGATGTCCTCCAGTGATGTCACTCGAGTCAGTGTCAGTTGAAGACTACAAGGTAGAAAATGCGTCGTTAGACCAAAGTGGAGCTTCAGTTCAATTCAGTTTGTATGACAAAAGATATCAGGACACTTTCCAAGAATGACAAGAACTTCAGTTTGGTCTGAGGAGGAGGAAGAGGAGGAGGAGGAGGAGGAAGGGGGGGAGGAGGAGGAGGGGGAGGAGGGAAACACTGAAGGATCATGTGACCAGGTTGTACTCTCGGTGTGAGCGAGTGTGGAGGAGCGCTGCTACTGCTTGTACAGAGAGCATGAAGCTTCACACAGACTGAAACACATGAGGATCAGCGGGAGTCCAGGACGTGGATCAGATGGATCAGAGTCCCGAACAGTCCACCACACCCAGGGAGGGCATGGTGAAATCTGGTAAGAGGACTGAGTCTGATCCTGGATCCTCCTGAAGCTTCTGTAATGACCATTCTGTGTTTGTTTTATTTATTCTTCCAGAGACAGATTTATATTCCTACACTGTAAAGAAAAATACTCCCAGACTCGTAAAAATACAGTAATTTCCATAATTAAAACACAGTTCTTAGCTTTAATTTGACATAAAATATGTTCTTTTAATGTTTAATTTAAGATATTTACAGTGTAAAACCAACGCAATGATCTATAAATCCAGGTGAACTCTGCTTTAATCCAAATAATCAGACTTACATTTACAGCAGAGTGCTGTTATTATTGGATTTTTATTATTTTAATCTGAATGTTAAAAGTTATAGAACTGTAATAAAAGTCATTATCTGTGTAATTACAGTAATTATTGCTGTTTACACTGATAACAACTGTATTTGGACAGTTTACCAATGCTTATACACTGATAAACAACATTTATTCTACTTCCATCATTATACAAGATAACAAACAAATCCATGTAATGTCCAATGTATTTGAAGTCTTTTTGTGTGAAAAAATAAATGTTCTTTAAATAATCAGTAATTTTATGATTATTTACAGTTACAGTTATTTGATGTTAGACATTTAAATTCACAGGATATTTTTGTAATTTAAGACTGAACCTGTCAGTTTTATGTAGAATAAAACCATAACTTTCTCGAAAAAAAAAACATTTTCTGACAAAATTCTACAACTTAAATAAAATGATTAATTAAATCAACTTGTTTTTTAATATTGATTTATTTTGGAAATTGAATTTATTTAAATATTTAGGAATTATTTAATTATTTGCAGTTTATAGAAGACATTAATTCTTACTAACTTGAAATGTTCAGATTCGTTACTCAAGTAAAAGTATCAATAGAAGAGAGTAAAAATACTCTAGAGGTACACGATCTTACTAAGTATTCTCAGTAAAGTTGAATTGATAAAGTATTTCTGAGCAGTATTTTAATGTAAAGTAGTAAATCTACAGCAATGCATCATATTTTATTATCTTGTTATTTTTGTGTAAAATCTTACCGCAGGAGAATAAAAATACACAGTAGGTTCTTTTTTAAAGCAGTATAAAAATAGATATTATAAGTAAAGTACTTCCACATTGTACCGTCTTATCTCCAGAACTCTTCTTGTATTGATTTCTGCTTTATTCGTTTTCATTTTATAAACACTTGAGGTCTTGAGTCGTGTGCTGGAGTCCAGCGGGGTGCTAACTGCTAATAAAACAGCGTTAGGATGGTGTGGAAGAGAAGAGCGTAGGATGATGAAGATGAAGTCACTGTTGGCAGGGAAACTTGATTGAGTGGGATTTTAACTTACTATGAGAGGTTCTTATGTAATGAAAGATTTTCACAGGTTTTATCTTCACGGAAAGGACAGGAAGCCTGTCGGAGACTGGTAATTATATCAGATATTCTCTGGGGGTAATGTTGGTTTATATTAGAAATATATTTATCATATATATTGTTTAATCATGGTTTGGTCCAGTATTCTGTGTGTAGTCCTGGTTTGGTCCAATATTTTGTGTTTAGTCCTGGTTTTGTCCAGGATTCGGTTTTTAGTCCTGGTTTGATCCAGTATTCGGTTTTTAGTCGTGGTTTGGTATAATATTCTGTGTTTAGTCCTGGTTTGGTCCAATATCCTGTGTTTAGTCCTGGTTTGGTCCAATATTTTGTGTTTAGTCCTGGTTTGGTCCAGTATTCGGTTTTTAGTCCTGGTTTGGTATAATATTCTGTGTTTAGTCCTGGTTTGGTCCAATATTCTCTAGTGTTTAGTCCTGGTTTGGTCCATTATTCTGTGTTTAGTCCTGGTTGGGTCCAATATTCTCTGTTTAGTCCTGGTTTGGTCCAATATTCTCTAGTGTTTAGTCCTGATTTGGTCCAGTATTCTTTGTTTAGTCCTGGTTTGGTCCAATATTCTGTATTTACCCCGGGTTTGGGCCAATATTCTCTAGTGTTAAGTCCTGGTTTGGTCCAGTATTCTTTGTTTAGTCCTGGTTTGGTCCAATATTCTGTATTTACTCCGGGTTTGGTCCAATATTCTGTGTTTAGTCATGGTTTGGTCAAGTATTCTGTTTTTAGTCCTGATTTGGTCCAGTATTCTGTTTTTAGTCCTGGTTTGGTCCAGTATTCTGTTTTTAGTCCTGGTTTGGTCCAATATTCTGTTTTTAGTTTTGGTTTGGTCCAGTATTCTGTTTTTAGTCCTGGTTTGGTCCAATATTCAGTTTTTAGTCCTGGTTTGGTCCAATATTCTCTAGTGTTTAGTCCTGGTTTGGTCCATTATTCTGAGTTTAATCCTTGTTTGGTCCATTATTCTGTGTTTAGTCCTGGTTGGGTCCAATATTCTCTAGTGTTTAGTCCTGGTTTGGTCCAATATTCTCTAGTGTTTAGTCCGGTTTGGTCCATTATTCTGAGTTTAATCCTTGTTTGGTCCATTATTCTGTGTTTAGTCCTGGTTGGGTCCAATATTCTCTAGTGTTTAGTCCTGGTTTGGTCCAATATTCTCTAGTGTTTAGTCCTGGTTTGGTCCAGTATTCTTTGTTTAGTCCTTGTTTCGTCCAATATTCTGTGTTTAGTCCTTGTTTGGTCCAATATTCTGTGTTTTCTCCTGGTTTGGTCCAATATTCTCTAGTGTTTGTTCCTGGTTTGGTCCAATATTTTGTGTTTAGTCCTGGTTGGGTCCAATATTCTGTGTTTAGTCCTGGTTTGGGCCAGTATTCTCTAGTCTTTAGTCCTTGTTTGGTCCAGTATTCTCTAGTCTTTAGTCTAGTTCTTTTGTTGTATTTCCTTTTACCATTTTTACCAACTGCGACCACCTCTCTTCGTTGGTCCAGTGTTTGGCTGTCTGGTCCGGGCCGAGGTCCAGAAAGATTTCACACCTGTAAATCAGAATCAGAATCAGAATCAGAAATACTTTATTAAAATTAGTGTTTATGTAAGAGGGACGCAGACACCTTCTGTGTTTGAACAGTTACTGAGGAATCATAAAGTCTGCACAGAAAGGTGTGAGTGCAGGGTCGGTCCATCAGTACATGTAAAAACGTTTTGGAGTCAGTTTTATTCTTTATCTCTCAGATGCTTCGAGCACTTTGCAGGTTTGATCTGATTTAGTGACTCCAGAGTGTGTTTTTCCTCAGGATGAATGAATTGAAGAGAATTATCTGGGCTGTGTAACATGAGCACATTTCCTCCCAGCTGAGGTGCAGTCAGACAGTCGTCCTCTCACAGACATCAGACTGAAGCTTCTAGCTGTAACCAGATAACAGGCACTCACAGAGACGTCGATAAACTACACAGAGGCTTTAGTTTGCACGCCCTGTCTCAAATCAATATGAAACCGCACAGTATCTCAAAGTCCGTCCACCCTTCCTGCGTCAGTCCTGTGAATTAGCTCTGAGAGGACGTCCAGTTAAAGTCCAGCACCAGGTTCTGTCCTCAGTCCGGGAGTAAAGTCCAACTTAGACGATCAATAACTAATAAGTTAGTTTGTAACTAAATCAAACACACAGTTATTACTTCAGGCAGAACTGAACTAGTTTGGATGTAAAGGTATAAGTGCAGCAAGTGGACAATCAAAGACATTGGTCCATCACCATGGTTACAGTGCACATTAGCTTTTTATACTGGAGGAAAGCAAGAGAGCTAATGTTATGCTAGGAGCCAGAGAGCTAACATTATGCTAGGAGCCAGAGAGCTAACGTTATATATATAATCTGGCAGTAGCTATCAGCTGTGTCACTGTCCCTAAATCAATATGAAGATTTTCACCCACTAATGATTGGCCAATGTCTGACAATTGATTGATTATCAGAGTCAACTGACAGACTGATTCTGATTGGGAGTAAATCCCAATGGTGTATCAGCTCCCCACATACTTTTCACCATGTACTGCAGCTGAGTTTGAAACGAGCCGATGACCAAACATCCATTTTTGTAGCAGCAGTGCATGCTGGGATCTAGTTGCACTTGAGAAAGAGGTCATTGTGTGAAGTGAACTGTATGACATCTGATCTCTGTCTCCCAGAATATCTGAGGACTCGGATCAGATACCCGTTAATCTGTCCTTTCTTCTCTCAGAACCAGTGACTGTGCAGCCTGTAGGGGAAGCTAGCAGGGTGTGTTCAGTCTGAACTAGTGTCTCTAAGTGCAGATAAATATATAAGGTTGGTCCAGACGGTGGCGCTAGAGGACAGTCTAAAAGGTTCGTCCTCTGCAGAACACAAAGTCAAAGTAAAGTCTGATGTTTAGATTCTGTCCTCGTGTCTGCAGCCTCAGCGTATGCAGACCTGCAGCAGCACAGGTCTGAAGGCATCCACAGAAGGTTGTCCCCGGTGTCCAACTACGTCCCCCAGCCGGACTACCTGGAGGGGGAAGAGGACGAGGACCTCATCAAACCCAAAAAACTTGTGAATCCTGTTAAAGCCTCAAAGAGTCACCAAGAGCTTCACCGAGAGCTGATGAGCAGCTGCAAACGGTAAGAGCGTCTGACCACAGGCATGTGAGGACCGTTTTGGGAAGTGGGGACATTTATGGGAAGTGGGGACATTTATGGGAAGTGTGGACATTTTTAGCTGTGGGGTTTTTTTGAAAGTTGATACTGTTCTTTTTCTCGAAATTTAAGACAAGTTGGAGAAAGGTTGGAACATTTTTAAAACTCTGGACATATTTTACTGATGGACAACCTGTTATTCGTCCTGAGTTACTATGAACTTTGATATGTAAATATTGTCTCTGGTGTGTCTGACAGTCCTGGTGGTGGTTGGTGCAGATTACGACTGACCAATCCCAGAGCGGTATTTTCTGGCCTTTAATGGACTTCCTGCTGTCCTCTCTGCGTCTGTCTCTGCTGTCGAGCTCAGACTGTGTGAAGTTTTGGAAGAAACGAGCAGATGCTGCTTAGCAACAGCCTCCCACCTCACAGGCCTGTGCCGCTGAGGACGCTGGGAAGGTTTTCACACCACGTCCACACAGTCGCTCATTGACGCTCAGAGCTTTAACACTGTGGACAGCGAGGACGGCCTTTTCTCTTCGGTTTTATCATTCAGGAGGAAAACTGGAGCTGGAGGACGCCCAGAAACACACAAATACAACTCATTAACATCATCTGCTGGGTCAGAAACGGTACATTTTAGCAAATGTCCTGAAATTTTAGAAAGGTGAGCACAATCTTTGACACTTTTAGGAAACAGAACACAATCTAAAAAGTGAGGACACTTCTGTTTTTGCTTTTTGGAAAATAGGGATATTTTAGGGAAGTGGGGATATTAGCTGTTGAGATACTCTGCCTGAGCTGCCGGCTGATCTGGAGTCAGATTGTCATGAAGTTTCTCTGGGAGTAAAACAGTGATGATGATTGTGGATTCATCAATAAACCAATAAACAATCTTTCATTGTGTGAATTGATCACAGTTCAAATGTCTCTCATTGTCAGTGAAAATCACATCTATAATGTTTGTTCACAGGTCAGAGGTTTGATCAACATCACCAATAACAGACTGCCCTCTTCTGGAGGAAACACAGACTACAACACAAAGTCTCATTCATTCAGACTGAAAGCATTCATTTATTCATCAGCTGATACAGACAGATATATTGATCAGTATCAGTAAATGACAGAAAAATGCTTTGAGTTCGTCCACCAGGGAGCACTCACAGGCTGTAAACTGTCCCCTTCCGTTTCTTCTTCTTCTTCTTCTTATTATTATTATTACATATATAAATACAATGTGTTTGAGCTGTAAAAGTATCATTTCCACATTAAAATGCTTTTGAAAAAGATATATGAACAGAAAATGACATTTTTAACAATCCCAACTTCAGTGGACAACAATTAAAATGAAATTAAATAGATAAAATGAGATTATTTAGACATTTCTGTTTGGCAGACTGTTGTACAGTTTAATTTTCAATAAATAAATGATATGGGGTTTACAGTGGAAGTGCACGTTTAATAATGAAATGTCTCATTTAAATATCTGGAAGTTCATGGATTGAATGTTTTTTCTTAATAAAGTTAAAATAAACCATAATGATGCTGTGTATTGTGTGTTCAGGGGTCACGGGGTCAGCGTGGAGATGAAGCCGGAGCTGCAGAGAGTTCTGGAGTCCAGGAAGAGAGATCAGCTGATCAAACAGAGGAAACAGGAAGAGGAAGCTCACAGGAAAATTTCTCCTCTGGAGGCCGAACTGCTGAAGAGACACAGGAAGCTGGAGGAGGTAACACACACACTCACACACACAGTGACAACAGTGGGCAACAATAGCTAACGTTAGCTTATAAATGGAGTCCGCTAACGTCTACAAATGACCAACACCCACCACAACATCAATCTGAATGTTAGAGTCCATCAGTGCGTTCACACTGTCAGTGATGCAGAACGCAGTGTGTTCACTATTTCAACACAAAATGGTACTCTAATAGAGAGAGTAACTTCCTACAAATACCTAGGTATTTGGTTGGATGAGAAATTGTCTTTTGGGGTCCATATTGAGAGCCTTTTAAAAAAACTCAGACCCAAGTTAGGTTTTTATTTTAGATTAAAGAAGTGCTTTCCTTATTCAGCGAGGAAAAGGTTGGTGCAGAGCACATTCTTATCAGTGTCGGATTATGGTGACCTAATTTATATGCATTCTTCTTGATCTTTATTAAAAAAACTAGAGAGAACTAGTATTATACCACTCAGCCTTGCGTTTCATTACAGGTGCAGCAGCCAGGACTCACCACTGCATTCTGTATGAAACTGTACAATGGTCCTCCCTCTCCCTCAGAAGGAAATTCCATTTATTTTATTTTTTTAACTTTTTTATTTAAGTTTCATTCAAAATCATGTACAGAATCATATTCATCATATCTGCTGTTTCATACACAAGGTAACAGTTATGGTACAACAAAAGAGACAGAGACTATAATGACAAAGAAAAATATAAAATAAGATAGAATAAAGCAAGATGAAATAAAAGAAATAATATTGTATCAGTATACCCAAAGCAGGGCTCCACCTTTTAGTGAATATATGTTTTTGAAGTCTCAGGGAATATGTTATTTGTTCCATTTGATATATTTCCTTTATTTTTTCAGTCAACATATTGTGTTGGAGGGTCAGGCTTCAACCACCTTACTGTAATGCATTTAATTGCTGTTGCTAGTAGTATCTGTAAGAGATATTTTTTGGCTCTTCCTTCCATACCTCTTGGTAATAGACCTAGTAGGGCCACCATTCGGTCCATTGTAATATTTCCACCAAATATTTTATTAAGTGTTTCAAACACTTCCTTCCAGAATGCTTCCAGTTTTGGACATAGCCAGAGTATGTGGGTCTGATTACCAATGTGTGGGCCACAGTTTCTCCAGCATTTATTTGAGTGTGTAGTGCTAAATTTAGCTGTAATTTCAGGTGTCCGAAAGAACCTCATGACTACCTTCCATTTGAATTCTCTCCATACATTTGAATTAGTTACCAGATGTACTTCAGTACATATTTCCTCCCACATATCATGTGATATATTGGAATTAATTTCAATTTCCCATCTAAAATTGCCAGCATTGTGGAGTTGATGTAAATTGGTGAGTCCATACTTCGACCATTTCCTGAAGCCTGTATCTGATTTAGAGGGCACAAAATCATTCATATATCCAATGTTTGTAAGTGCTGAAATTGTTTTAGGCAGCCCAAATGTAGATTTTATTGTCTTCCATATTTTTAATGTGATTTCGGTCAAATCACCCATATTTATTTTATTTGGATGGACATCTAAGAATGGCAAGGCCTGTAAAGGTCTTTCACATAAACTCTTTTCAATATTGAGCCAGCGTGTATATGATAAGTCCTGAATCCATATTATTAGCGGTTTTAGTTGCGCAGCCCAAAAGTAGTATCTCAGATTAGGTAGTTTGAGCCCTCCCTTTGCCTTAGATAACTGTAACACTTTTAGTCTGATTCTTGGTCGCTTTCTCTGCCAGATAAATATTGAAATTAGTTTGTCCAATTTGTCAAATGTAGTTTTGGGGATGTAAATAGGTAACATTTGAAACAAATATAGTAATTTAGGCAGCACATTCATACAGACACTCTCAATGTGGCCCAGCAGAGATAGGGGCAATATTGACCATCGGTCTAAGTCCTTACTAATGTTATGAATTAAACTTGTGTAATTGAAATTGTATAGTTTTTCTAATGAAGGTGGTATATGAATGCCTAAATATTTGATGCCATCTACTGGCCATTTAAACCCACTCTGCAATTTAGTTGTATCTGAGATGTTGCCACCTATATCCATGGCCATTGTTTTGTCCACGTTTAATTTGTAGCCCGAGAAGTATCCATAAGTGAAAATGATGTCCTTTAAATATGGTATTGTTGTTGCAGGTTTAGTAAGATACAGCAATACGTCGTCAGCCTACATTGAGATTTTATGCTGTTCTCCATTTATTGTAACCCCCCATATATTATCATTATCCCTAATCAGCTGTGCTAATGGTTCAATACTGATATCAAATAACAAAGGAGATAGTGAACAACCTTGTCTACACCCACATTCCAGAGTGAAGCGGTCTGAGAGAAATCCGTTCACCTTAACTGCGGATTGTGGATCCGAATATAAGGTTTGTATCCATTTGATGAAATTTGGGCCAAATTGGAATCGTTTCAGAGTTTGAATAAGGTATTGCCAGGATACTCGATCGAATGCTTTCATGGCATCTAAGGATAATATCATTGACTCCTCTTCTTTAACTTTTGGGTGTGTCATTAAATTTAACAACCTTCTGATGTTGTCCCCATAGTATCTTCCCTTTATAAAACCTGTCTGATCGGGATGGATAATTTCTGTAGTAATTTTATTGACACTTCTTGCCAGAATAGCTGTTAAGATTCGTAGATCTGTATTCAATAATAAGATCGGTCTGTACGATTGGCATTTAGTGGGATCTTAGCCATCTTTATTTGGTAAATGGTAAATGGACCTTTCTAGTCTTCTGACCACTCAAAGCACTTTTACACTACGTGCCACATTCACCCTTTCACACACATTCACTCAGTGATGGCAAAGTCCATAGAACAGAAACTAACTCATTCATACACATTCACACACCGATGCTATGCATCGGGAGCAATTTGGGGTTCAGTATCTTGCTCAAGGATACTTCGACACGTGGCAGGAGGAGCCGGGGATCGAACCAACAACTTTCCAATTAGGGGACAACCCGCTCTGCCTCTGAGCCATAGCCGCCCATTTTATCTTTATATCTTTATTTTATATTTATCACCACTATAGTAGCCTCTCTCCAAGAGGGGGCCATGGTTCCAGGTTTTAATTCATGATGGTAAGCGTGTAGTAATAAAGGTGATATAATCTCTATAAAAGCTTTATAAAATTTGTTAATATACCCGTCTGGGCCAGGGCTTTTATTATTTTTCAGTGTGGAGATTATCTGACGTATTTCCAGGTCTTTGATGTCTTTTAAAAATTGTGCCAATTCCTCATCATTTGTGCAAGTGTCTGTATTTTTGTACAAAGTCTTGTAAAATTCTGCAAAGGACTGTGATATTTCATCCAGCTTTGTGAAAGTTGAATTATTCTCCTATAATTTCTGTACTATGTTTGATGATTGTTGTTTTTTAAGTCTTAAGGCTAGTAACCTGCTCGCCCTATTACTGTTTTCGTAGTATTTTTGGTTAGTGAACCTTAAATTGCCCTCTATTTTTTAATTAATTAAGCTGTTTAGGTCCCTGCATGCCTCTTTCAGATTATTCAATAAGCCTGAGGTTGAGTTTCTTTTGTGTTGCTGTTCAAGCTCCCTTATTTTGTCTTCTAGCTCTCGCTGTTTTTCTTCCCTTTTTCTTTTTCTGGCACTTGTAAAGGAAATGATTCGGCCTCTAATATATGCCTTTGCACAGTCCCATAGAGTAAGGGGTGATATTTCAGGAGAAGTATTAGTGTCAAGATAATTTTTTAGTTTAGTTTTTATAAATGCGATGAATTCTCTATCATTGAGGAGCGACGCATTTAATCGCCATTGTTTAGTTGATGGCCTGTTACCAATGTTCCACAACAATACGAGAGGAGCGTGATCGGATAATGTAATTGGGAGGATCTTTATGTCGACTATCCTATAAGATTCTGCATGGGGGTAAAAAATAGGTCTATTCTGGAGTATGAAGAATGCCTATGCGAAAAAAAAGGTAAAGTCTTTGCCTTTAGGGGGTTTGTTTCTCCAAATGTCCACCAGACCAGATTCTGTCGATAAATGCCTAAGCATATTGTTCATCCTAGAAGTAGAAGTGCTAGACACAGGTTGTCTATCCAAATGTTGGGACATGACGCAATTAAAATCTCCTCCTAACAGTAAAATACCAGAGCTATGCTGTGATATTATGGAGAAGATTGTATGAATAAAGCTAGGCTCTTCAGTGATTCAAAATCCTTCAATTCTTCTCTAATAACTGACGATATTTCTTTGCTCAATGAGGAGAGGATGTCAGCTTTGATTGTTGCGGTGTTCATGCTTGTACTTACTACAGGTACAGGTGGGGTTAGGTCGGATTTATCTGGACTTTTAGCCGAGGAGGTTTGGGGCCTTGTGTTGGGCCGGGCTTCGTAGTTGTATTTGCGGAGATTTGCTGCCATGAGCGTCGGTTCTTCTTCACTGACCTTGCCGGGTAGTGTTAATTATACAGTTACCGCATTTATTTGTATTTTCGAGCGCAGATGTCATATAATATATGTATGTAATTAAGATTCTGCAGGAGCTCACAAAAGTGCGTCTTACTCCATTGCGGCTAGCTAGCGCCCCCCCCGGAAATTCCATTTATTGATTTTCCTTGCTAAAGCTCTAATGGGTAAATTACCCCTCTACATTTCAAATTTTCTTTCTTACCATAATAGTGTTTACAGGACAAGGTCGTCAGAAAAAATACTATTAGTTATTCCATCAACAAGAACAGAACTTGGTAAAACAGCTTTCTCATCATATGCACAGCTTCCAGCTGTGGTTCAGCTGTGGTTCGGGAGGCAGACACCCTCTCCACATTCAAGAGTAGGCTTAAGACATTCCTCTTTGATAAAGCTTATAGTTAGGGCTGGATCAGGTGAGTCCTGAACCATCCCTTAGTTATGCTGCTATAGGCCTAGACTATTGGGGGATTTCCCATGGTGCACTGAGCTCCTCTCTTCCTCTCTCTTTCTGCACTCATTCATGTCCCATTAATGCATGTTACTAACTTTACTTCTTCCCCGGAGTTCTTGTGCTTTCTCGTCTCGCAGGTTCTTATCAATCCTGGTGGAGCCTCCTGCCATGGTCCTGCTAGATTGCCATTGCCAATACTGTTGTTGCTGTGCACCTGTCTGTCTGTCTGTCTCTCTGTCTCTCTCTGTGTCTCTCTCTCTCTCTCTCTCCCTATCTGGTCGAGACAGACGACCACCCACCTAGAGCCGAAGGATCTGTCCTAGGTTTCTGCCTTTTAACAGGCAGTTTTTCCTTGCCCTTGTCGCCAAGTGCTTGCTCATGGTGGCACTGTTGGGTCTCTGTAAATAATGTTATAAAGAGTTCGGTCTAGACCTGCTCTATTTGAAAAGTGTCCTGAGATAACTTCTGTTATGAATTGGTGCTATACAAATAAAATTGAATTGAATTGAATATGCACCAAATGTCTGAAATGAATTTCAAAACACCCTAAATCTAGAATCACTTACACCTTTCAATACTTTTAAAAACTTTTAAAGTCAACTCTAACAGAACAGTGTAATTGTTTTTGTCAAGTTCTGTGTGTTTGTTGTGACTGACCACAGCTCTGCCCAAACTTGAAAACAGCTTGATTTTTGATGGACGCAAAGGACAACTCAAATCTGTTCACTTTTTGTTTTTTTATTTTCTTGAAGATAGTTTGATAGATTCGGATGGAGCAGAATAGGTTGATAACCTTTAAGATACACAAACAAAAGACATGAATTAGTTACAAATAAATCTCAATAACACTTTACTCAAAGTAATAATAAATAAATGTTACTGAATCCTCAAACCAAACAAAGTCATTTAGATTACCCTAGGATCTCTAATAGTTAATAATTAAAGTACCAATCCCACAATTAAACTTATATAATAATTAAACAATATACATGCTTAGAGTAACGTTGGGTGCCAGGTGAATATGGTCCCAAGAGCACTTCCTGAGAAGTTGGCTCCGGAAGCGGCTCCCTGGGTGAATCTAGGCTGGAGTGCTCAGTACAACTTGTAACCATGAACAGTTTTTAACTAGGTGCCCTTTAAGTTGTATGTCTGTATTAGCTTAAGTTAAGTATAATGTCTTGTTTGTGTTCTAGTATGTATAGTGTACGTACAGAGATTTGTGGTGTAGTATGTAACCTTTGTCCGGTCTTTTATGTATTTTTTATTTTTTTTTTAAACTTTTTGGCGCCAGTCTTGGCCAGGAATCCCTGGGAGAAGAGTTACTGTAACTCAATGGGACTTTTCCTGGTTAAATAAAGGTTAAAAAAAAAAAAAAAAAAAGGACCCGGATGGTTCACTTCTTCTCTACTCTAGCAAAAGCAGAGGGACCACCGGAACGTACCGGTACATTTCTCGCATGAAACAATTCAATTCAGTTTTCTTTGTATAGCACCGATTCATAACAGACATTATCTCATGACACTTTTCAAATAAAGCCTAGCCTAGAGTCTAGACCGAACTCCTTATAACATTATTTACAGAGACCCAACAGTTCCTACCATGAGCAAGACCTTGGAGACAGCAGCAAGGAAAAACATCCTTTTAAGAGGTGGGTGGGAGAGGGAGAGAGAGAGAGAGAGAGAGAGAGAGAGAGAGAGAGAAAAGACAGAGAGAGACACACACACACAGAGAGAGAGAGAGAGAGAGAGAGAGAGAGAGAGAAAAGACAGAGTGAGACACACACACAGAGAGAGGGAGAGACTTTCATTGTTATGCAGATGATATCCAGTTACATCTATCAATCAAGCCTGATGAAATTAATCAATTATCTAAATTACAAACATGGCTTAAGGACGACATAAAAACCTGGATGAGCTGCAATTTTCTGATATTTCCCCCATAATAATTTTTCCTTAAAGGAAAATTATGGGGGATATACCACAGACCAAGTGGAACTCATAGAACAAGTTTCTGATGTTTTTTTTTAAAATACTACCCCTAAATGTCAAATGTGACATATAAGTCACAAACGACATTTATGGAAAATAAATATTTTATTAATACCTAAATAATTTGACATTATTTTTGTTTATATTTCTTCAAATAAACTTTAAATTGAACAACAGGGCATATATTAATTCAGTGAAAACAGTGAATTTAATTAAGTGGCCTATTACCCTTTGTGTTATTGTGACACAGACGTTACATCAGGTTTTCCATGATGACTTTAAAAAGCGATATTTTCATAACTTGTTTTATATAATTTTGTTCAGGAAATATGGTCAGAACAGGTTAAATGCAATACAGGACACCCTATTAAAGCATTAGAATTGTTAAATGGGTTTAACCTACATTAGTAACAAAAAACAAGCTTTTTAATTTAGCTACTTCCTTCATTTCTGTTTCCCAGTCACACCGAGGACACCTCCTGTCACAGTCACATAGCTGTCATATGACCACCACACCAGGATGTTCTGTATATGCCACTTAGGGACTTAATGAGTTAAGGTCAAGCATAAAGCTATATATGGAAGAATCAAGGACATTTAAAGTGTTTGTTACAGACAAAACTGTCTAAAAACCGAAATTCTTGTACTTGGCCCCGAACACCTCCGAGACTCACTGTCTAAAGAAAATAATATAATAATAATACATTTTATTTAAAGGCGCCTCTCTGGGCACTCGAGGACACCGTGCAACACATAAAAAATAAAAACAGTAAGAAATAAGAAACAGATAAGAAAAGACAATGTAGATAGTTAAGTGGCACATGCAGTTCTGAATAGGTGAATTTTTAGTCTTGATTTGAAGAGGGGGAGAGAGTCCAGGTTCCTGAGTTCCGGTGGGAGTGAGTTCCAGAGTCGGGGGCAGAGCGACTGAAAGCCCTGCTCCCCATGGTGACGAGGCGGGCGGGAGGGACAGAGAGGTGGACAGAGGAGGCAGATCTGAGGGAACGGGAAGGGGTGGCGATGTGGAGGAGTTCGGACAGATAAGGAGGGGAAAGGTTGTGGATGGCCTTGAATGTAAACAGGAGGATTTTGAAGTTTATGCAGAGTTTGACCGGTAGCCAGTGGAGTTGCTGCAGAACAGGGGTGATGTGGTGGATGGAGGGGGTTCTGGTGATGATTCGAGCTGCAGATATAGTTACTCTAGATGGTATTACCTTGGCCTCCAGCCCCACTGCCAGGAATCAGTTTTTGTAAATAATGTTATAAGGAGTACGGTCTAGATCTGCTCTATTTGAAGTGTCCTGAGATAATGTCTGTTATGAATTGGTGCTATACAAATAAAATTGAACTGAACTGAATTGAATTGAAAAATAATAATCCATATGGGCGCTAATGCTCCATTTGGTTGTAAATTGCCGTAGAAGAAGTAAGTGTTCAATGGCCGTGCTCGATCTGAGATGCTGCTGAAATTACTGCGATACGCTAGTAAGGACGTAGTGTGTATAATGTACTACACAGTGTGTACTGGCGGGAGTATTCAAATTCAGACACAACTACAGCCTCTTGAGGCTACAATATCGCTAGCAAATAATTGTATTCTGACAAATAGTTGATTTTAGCCAACAATAAATGATGTAGTTAGTGGTTCATAGCTAACGTTAGCTTTGTGAGGCAGCAGCCTCCTTCGTGTTGTAGGAACAGTACAGATATAGTGAGACATTCTGAATATGATTATTTATTTTACAGGGTTGTTTCAGTCGATGCCTGTGGCAGTGAGAGCGCTGCAGCTTAACACTGCTGGCTACTGCACAACTGTCTCTGTCTGACAGCAGTTAGGCTCCGCCCACAGAATACATCATCACTGAATACAAACACAGCTCTTTGTCCGTCCCTCTTCAGAGTCCTGTTTGCTGAAAGTCTTTGTCTCTTTGTTACAGTTGGAGAGACAGCAGGAGAAGGAGCAGCAGGAAAACCTGAAAGCTCCAGAGTTCGTCAAAGTGAAAGAAAATCTGAGAAGAACGTCCATTCACAGTAAAGAGGAGAAGGAGGTATAGAGATGGAGCTGCTGTCCCACAGGAGACATAGAAACTGAGAACCAGACTGCATGAGGACACAAACTGACACTAACACTCTGAGGACAGTCTGAGGACACACTGACACTAACAAAAAGTTACTGAGGACACAAAGAGGACACAGTGAGGACAGTCTGAGAACACATTGAGGAAAAACTGAGGACACAGTGAGGACAGTCTGAGGACACAGTGAGGACAGTCTGAGGACACAGTGAGGACAAACTGAGGACACACTGAGGACAGTCTGAGGACACAGTGAGGACAAACTGAGGACATAGTGAGGACACACTGAGGACAGTCTGAGGACACACTGACACTAACACTTTGAGGACATAATGTCCAGAACGGCTGTGATGTCTCTTCGGGGAGAGACACAGTTTGAAGGAGGAGAAATCAGGTCCCTTTTGAGTTTGACTGACAGATTACCAGACTCGTCTCACCTGGTGGATGACTGTTACCATGGAAACAAACAACCACGTTCTGCACAGAAGGAAGGACAACAATAAAAACCTGAAAGATTTGATTTATTATCAGTTTATTTTTTAATCGATAGGCTCCGATAATCATTTGTGTTATTATCAGATAATTTAATTAAAAAGATGTTTAATTGCGAGATTAATAATTTGTGCGTATGTTATAATTATGAAATATAGAAGATCTGAAGACGTTTGTTTTTATTATGTGGTTCAGAAGTCCTAATTATGAGAAAAATTTTATATATCATAATGAAAGATAATTTCAATCATTCAGACGTCATTAAAACTTCTTTCATACGTTATTGGTTGTTTCATAATAAAGGCAAACATTCTGTAGTAATCAATCATTTTAAATCATTTTTTACGTGAAATTGTGCGAAAGCGCTTGCGCTGCGACGCCATCGCCTCCGTGTGACAAATGTTCTTCTTGTGCCTCAAACTGTACCTGGACGATATTTTTCAGGCAATAACAAGTAAAACTCATTAATCACTTTAATCACATTCATAATCAGCAGCAAGAGGAAACCTCTTGTCTCTCGTAAAGATGTTAATTACATATAATTACAACACAGACATCGTTATGAGAACTGTATCTGAGATCATTATTAAAATATCCAACATCATTATTAGATCTTTTGTTGTAATTCTGAGATAATCAGTAGATAAACTGTTTTTGCTCTCACAGACTGAAGCCTTACGTTATTGTTATAGTAAATTAAAATCATGTTGAGTTTCCTTATCAATTCAGAATGTAACTAGTAATTAGATATTTTTATTTCTGTTTGACTTTGTTAATTTCCTTTTGTGGCTTTTGAAGCAACAATTGTTCTGATTAACGTGTTCACACTGACAACAATAAAGAACAATAATCCTGATGTTCAAATGCTTTATTGATGGTAATTACTATATAGATCTTTTATTTTGAAAGAACAGCCTTATGCTCGGTTTCCAATTAAGACACATTTACTCTCTGGGATTTTATTTTGAAAAAATAGGGTCATCCTGAGTTTCCTGTTAGTATACACTTACTCTCTGGTGCTTTTATTTTTAAAGTATGAGTTTCATTGCAGTACATCAAAACAACATGGAGACGACCAGAAAGCCCAACTGGAGGATTCAGAACAGGACTCGGTTAGCTACAACACGGCCAATACAAGAAAACTGCAACAATTAGTCTAGTGTTCAATTCAATCCAGTTTCATTTGTATAGCATCAATTCATAACAGACATTATCTCAGGACACTTTTCAAATAGAGCAGGTCTAGACCGAACTCCTTATAACATTATTTACAGAGACCCAACAGTTCCCACCCTGAGCGAGACCTTGGCGACAGGGGCAAGGAAAAACTGCCTTTTTAAGAGGCAGAAACCTAGGACAGATCCTTCAGCTCTAGGTGGGTGGGAGAGAGAGAGAGAGAGAGAGAGAGAGAGAGAGGTTCCTATAGTCTCAAAAAGTAGAACAGGAGCCAGAGCCTTCAGTTACCAAGCTCCTCTCCTGTGGAACCAGCTTCCAGTTGTGGTTCGGGAGGCAGACACCCTCACCACATTCAAGAGTAGGCTTAAGACATTCCTCTTTGATAAAGCTTATGTGTCCTGAGATAACTTCTGTTATGAATTGGCGCTATACAAATAAAATTGAATTGAATTGAATTGAATAGTTAGGGCTGGATCAGGTGAGTCCTGAACCATCCCTTAGTTATGCTGCTATAGGCCTAGACTATCGGGGGATTTCCCATGGTGCACTGAGCTCCTCTCTTCCTCTCTCTTTCTGCACTCATTCATGTCCCATTAATGCATGTTACTAACTTCACTTCTTCCCCGGAGTTCTTGTGCTTTCTCGTCTCGCAGGTTCTTATCGATCCTGGTGGAGCCTCCTGCCATGGTCCTGCTAGATTGCCATTGCTAATATCACTGATATTATTGTTATTATTATTATAAGTATTATTATTGCTACGGTTACTGTTGTGGCTGTTGTCACTGCTCATTGTCCCCCATCGTTGTTCTCGTCGTCGTAATCATCGTCTTCATGTTCATCATCATCAGTCACTACTATTAGTGTAGTTGTTGCTACTGTTGTTGCTAAAACTGTTGTTGCTAAATAATGTTATAAAGAGTTCGGTCTAGACCTGCTCTATTTGGAAAGTGTCCTGAGATAACTTCTGTTATGGATTGGCGCTATACAAATAAAATTGAATTATATATATAATTACTGTCCTGTCATGTTAATGTATTTAAAGTCAACATGACTCAGAAAGCAGAGGGCTGACTCTGCATATTTACATAGAACAATAGTGACATCACAGTGAAGTGGATGACATCACTGTGAACCACAAGAAGAAACACTGTCGTCCTTTGGATTTTCAACATATTCACAGTTTCTTTGTCTTCTGTCACATGAAAACTTTAAACGGACTGAACGGCAACTGGTGGTGCTGTTAGCTACAGTTCACTGAACGGCCACTGGTGGCGCTGTTAGCTACAGGTCACTGAACGGCCACTGGTGGCGCTGTTAGCTAAAGTTTAATTTCTTTTGAAATTAAACTATTTGATTAATTTTTAAGTTTATTGAAATCGAGTCTTATTAAAATTCACTGTAATGTAGTTTGGATGGATTTTGTTTTAGTTAAATTGGGTATAAAAGATCATTCTTGCTGTTAGAGTTTCTCTCTACTTGGTCTATTAAGTCCATCTGCTGATGAAGACCAGAAGTGGCTGAAATCTCTGGAAAATGTTAATAAGTGGACCTCAAGATTCTTTCTGCTTTGGTTTATATAAAAAATCTGACCGGCATTGCCTGCTTTGACACCAGCAGCAGCCCAGGAGAGACTGATGGAAAGTATGCAAAGCCAAAAGGGTCACAATTCATCACTTTTCAAACTCAATTAGATAAGAAAACACTGTAAAAAGTGGCAAACAAACTGCTATGATGCCTTTTAAAATTTTTATTTTTACAGTGAATGACAGTTAAAGAAAATGCTTTTTAAGATTTAAAAACATAATTGTTTATAGCCCAAGTATCCAGGTGAGCTTAATCAGCTGATGACCCTCACTCTTAAAATCAAGGTTGACATCTTAAAATATAGATCTGGTTGTTGCAGAAACAGACAGTAAGGAATATAAAGTAGTGAGGAGTATGGTCACCAGGAGATGAGGTTTAACCCATGACCCAAAGTACTGAGCACCAAAGCTCATCACAAGTGTCTGACACATGACCTGCAGCCACACAAAGCAAACCCAATGCACACAAACCTGGAATTAACTATCACCAAACCAAAGCAGCATACCCAAAGGTTCCTCTAACAAAAGACTCACGAGACAACCAAGTCGTCCCAAGATGAACACAAAGAGGACCAAGCTACTACAAAGCTCAGAAAACCAAAGCATTAGCTAAGAGCTGCCAAGTTACAAACACTCTTAAACAACTTCCTTACTAGTATTATCCCTCTTGAGTCATGCCAGGCTCAGACAAAGTGGAACATGCAACATATCCATACTATGTTTAAGATCACAAACCTAAGACAAAAACAAAATAAGTATTACAGTTGTACAACGGCAAAATCAAAGATGGCCACAACAGAGACCGACCATCCCTGACTACAGAAATTCTATTCACTATCTAACTAGTCTCAACCCTTATACCAGATACTGGTGGTACCACCATGTTTCTACAGACACTGGGTCTATATAGGGCCATTTACATTTGTTGCATGTTTCACAGCCACTATAGTTTCTCCATCATAGTTGAAAGGGGAGGGTGAAGCGAGTGAGTAGCAATCTGCAACCACACAGCTAGATGCCACTAAATCCTACATGCTGGATCTTTAAGTAGTTTTTTCAGGTATCTGTACTTTATTTCAGTATTTATTTTTCTGACAAATATCTGTACTTTCTACTCCTTACAGTTTAAAAACAGATTTGTTACTTTACATTTAATGCACTTGAGGGGATTGTTGATTGGTATTAATGTTATTTTGCATCATTGAACATCTTCCCATCATTAAGACTGTGACAGACATTCAATTCAATTCAATTCAATTCAATTCAATTTTATTTGTATAGCGCCAATTCATAGCAGAAGTTATCTCAGGACACTTTTCAAACAGAGCAGGTCTAGACCGAACTCTTTAAAACATTATTTACAGAGACCCAACAGTACCAGCATGAGCAAGACCTTGGCGACAAAGGCAAGGAAACACTGCCTGTTAAAAGGCAGAAACCTAGGACAGATCCTTCGGCTCTAGGTGGGTGGTCGTCTGTCTCGACCAGTTGGGGTGAGAGAGAGAGAGAGAGAGAGAGAGAGAGAGAGAGAGAGAGAGAGAGAGAGACAGACAGACAGACAGACAGACAGACAGGTGCACAGCAACAACAGTATTGGCAATGGCAATCTAGCAGGACCATGGCAGGAGGCTCCACCAGGATCGATAAGAACCTGCGAGACGAGAAAGCACAAGAACTCCGGGGAAGAAGTGAAGTTAGTAACATGCATTAATGGAACATGAATGAGTGCAGAGAGAGAGAGGAAGAGAGGAGCTCAGTGCACCATGGGAAATCCCCCGATAGTCTAGGCCTATAGCAGCATAACTAAGGGATGGTTCAGGACTCACCTGATCCAGCCCTAACTATAAGCTTTATCAAAGAGGAATGTCTTAAGCCTACTCTTGAATGTGGTGAGGGTGTCTGCCTCCCAAACCACAACTGGAAGCTGGTTCCACAGGAGAGGAGCTTGGTAACTGAAGGCTCTGGCTCCTGTTCTACTTTTAGAGACTATAGGAACCACAAGTAGCCCAGCATTCAGAGAACGTAGTGTTCTAGAGGGGTAATAGGGTACTATGAGCTCTTTAAGATATGAAGGGGACTGACCATGAAGAGCTTTATAGGTGAGGAGGAGGATTTTAAATTCTATTCTACATTTTACAGGGAGCCAGTGCAGAGAAGCTAGTACAGGAGAGATGTTATCTCTTTTTCTAGTTCCTGTCAGTACTCGTGCTGCAGCGTTCTGAATTAATTGGAGCGTTTTAATGGACTTATTGGGGCAACCTGATAACAAAGAGTTGCAGTAATCCAGCCTTGAAGTAACAAATGCATGGATTAGTTTTTCTGCATCTGTCTGTGATAGGATGTGTCTAATTTTTCTAATATTACATAAATGAAAGAAGGCAGTCCTAGAGGTCTGCTTTATGTGGGAGTTAAATGACAAATCCTGATCAAAGATAACTCCAAGATTCCTGACAGTGGTGCTAGAGGCCAAGTTAATGCCATCTAGAGTAACTATATCTTTAGACAGTGAGTCTCTAAGGTTTTTGGGGCCAAGAACAAGAATTTCGTTTTTTTCTGAGTTTAACATCAGAAAATTGCAGGTCATCCAGGATTTTATATCCTTAAGACATGTTTGTAATTTAGATAATTGATTAATTTCATCGGACTTGATCGATAGATATACAAACTGCGAACGATCTGATAAGTATGACTTAAACCAGCTTAGTGAGGTTCCTTTAATGCCAATTTGATGCTCAAGTCTCTGTAAAAGAATATCATGGTCAACATAAGACAGACATAACAAGATGTTATGATTAATGTCAAGATTAAATAGTTATTTACTTTTACACTTTTAGTAAAGAAGCTGAATCAGTACTTCTGCTTGAGTGAAGAATGTGTGTACTTTTACCACCTCTCTGATTGACTAACTGGCTACTGGTGCTGCCTCCTAATAGTCGACACTTTCCATCAGTCTGGCAGTCGCTGCTCCTTGTCACCGGGAACAAAATAAATCAGTATTATATCATTAATTTGATCCTTCTTCGAGCAAAATAAAAACTATTTTTTTTAAATCTATTTTTCAAAAAATTACATTACTTTATTAACCTAAATTAACTTATTTATGATTTCTGTCCCCTGGCATTGTCTGTTCACGTACTGAATGTGTTTACCTGTTTATAAATAGAGTAAAACAACAACTATGAATTGTGACCCTTTTGACATTCCATATACAGTTTGTGGCCCTTTTGGCATTCCATACACGCCTTCAAGCTCAGCAGGGACCAGGTTCCAGAGCAGCCGGAGCCTCGTACAGCGGGCTGCATTGTTCCACCGTAAACAGAGGCTGACACAGATCCGGTTCTACCGTGTGAATGTGTGGAGCAACGTCCGTACCGGCGACCGGAGGCCGTTAACTACGTGGAAATCCCGCTGGTGGTTCGGCAGTTGATGGAGAGTAACCCGCTCTAAGATGGCAACCGCCGCCCGCTCCCGGCGACCATAGACCGACGGTCAGGTACGGCTCTCTCTGCGGTCTGACGCAGTTCTCTCAGCGGCGGTTAAAGTTCAGTCTGCTGGAGGACTGCGCTGCCATTCTCCGACGAGAAGGTCAAACCAAACTCCATTCAGACATCTGACGATCCAAACGTTCCCGCTGTTTCGGTGGGTTTATGTTCCCGTTAGAATATGGCTGATGACTGTTTATAAATCGCTGTGATCTAACGTTAATTTCGGCCCACATATAATCCATCTAAATGCTGTTTATTGCAATACATCTGAGTTAACCATCCACAAGTGTGACACCGCCCTCCATGCAGGCTGCGGGTGGAAAATCCCCGACAGGAAGCGAGGTCGGACCAATATTTAAAGTTTAAAGTTTTCCTGCAGTTGTTGTGGTGGATGTGTGCGGTGAAACACAGCAGCCTCGGTTAGATTCTGTCCGTGGACGCAGAATGTGGCCGCGTTAAATTGACAGAAATGTGAATGGAGTTTGGTGGGACTGCGCTGGGTGTGTGTGGAAAACGTTGCAGCTGCTGCAGCTGTCACAGATGTTTGGACACATTTCAGTTTGTCACCTGTTCTTCTGAGTCTGCGCATTTTGAGTCTGAGTCTAAAGATCACAGCAACACTGATAGCAAACAGCTAACAACCAGTGACCACACTGTGCACCCCAGTCCTCTATGGCGTCATGCACACCTGTCTAACCACAAAAACAGGTGATTTTCACAGGTGCATTATGGGATTACATATAATAAAAACATCATATTGCCATATGATTCATGAATAGTGGCAATCCGAAATTCAATTTTCACAAAATAAATCCTGTTGAAAATATATAATAATTCTATAATTTTACATACAGTCTTTTTTCTTTTTAATGTTTAATTATAGATATTTACACTGTACAAACAATGTCCATATTCCACATTTTACCATCTAAATAAGTTTCATTGAGAAATATCAGAGTTTACTGTCATCTTTTCTTCGTGGATATATAAACTCACATAAAGCTCTCAGCTGCTGTTGGCTCCGCCCATCGACCACCGACAACGTGCGTGTGTTACTGTGTGTTACTGTGTGTGTGTGTGTGTGTGTGTGTGTGTGAGTGTGTGTGAGTGATTGTTACCTACGGTGAAGCGTGGTGGTGGCAGCTTCCTGCTGTGGGGATGAATTGGGAGAATAGTCAGGATCGAGGGAGAGAGAAATGCAGCAATGTAAAGAGACATCCTGGATGAAAACCTGGTCCAGGAGTTCTGGACCTCCGCAACAACCACCCAAAGCACACAGCCAAGATAACAAAGGAGGAGATTCACTCTGTTAATGTCCAACTTATGTTCATACTGTATGTATGTTATATTTTAATAATATACTCTTTAAAATAATATACTTTAAATCTGCAAAAATGTAAAACTTTTGTTAACCTTTTTTCATATATATATATAGAAAATATACATTAATATAATATTAATGTATATTATATATATTAATATACTACATATTATTATAATACATACTGTATTGCATATACAGGGGTAGGTTACAGACTCAGTTGGGGTCCTGGGTCCATGAGACCACTTTCAGATGGGAAGAGACTGTTCTTGTGGTGTGAGGTTCTGGTCTTGATGGACCGCAGCCTCCTGCCAGAGGGAAGTCTCAACGAGTCTGGGTCTAGGGTGGTAGGGGTCTGCCACAGTCTTACCTGCACGCCTCAGGGTCCTGGAGGAGTTCAGGTCCTGGAGGAGTTCAGGTCGGCAGTAGCAGTAGTGAACTAGATGGTGATGGAGGAGGTGCTCATGGTCCAGGAGTCAGAGACATGTTTCCCAGCTTCAGGTGCTGATGCTACAGGAAGTCTGTGATCCACCTGCAGGTGCAGGGTTCAGGGCCATGTTTACTGCATCATCTACAGACCCGTTGGCTCTGTAGGTGGACTGCAGGAGGTCCAGGACTGCATCTGTTATGGTTTTGAAGTGGGACAGCACAAGCAGGTCAAAAGACCTCCTGCCCACAGAGGTAAGGGTGACGGGTCTGTAGTCACTGACTGCTTCAGTCTGGATAGAGGGACAGGGTCTGGACCAGCTGCTCTGTGGGGTTCTTAAAGAGTCTGTTGATGTGGTTTGTCCTTGTCATAACTCCTCCTTGTGATGGTTCACAGCAGACTGTCGGTAGCGGTCCTGAAAACATCCCAGAAACACGCCTGAAGAACCTCCACAGCTTCACTGGTCCACTGCTGGTCCTCACAACAGGTCCACTGCTGGTCCTCACAACAGGTCCACTGCTGGTCCTCACAACAGGTCCACTGCTGGTCCTCACAACAGGTCCACTGCTGGTCCTCACTACAGGTCCACTGCTGGTCCTCACTACAGGTCCACTGCTGGTCCTCACTACAGGTCCACTGCTGGTCCTCAAACAGGTCCAGTACTGGTCCTCAAACAGGTCCACTGCTGGTCCTCACAGCAGGTCCAGTACTGGTCCTCAAACAGGTCCACTGCTGGTCCTCACAGCAGGTCCACAGAGCTTTAATGTGGACCGCGAGGTGGTCAGAGAGGCCCAGTGCGACCTGCTGACTGGACTGTAACAGTGATCCACAATATTCTCCTCTCTGGTTTTTACACACACATTTAATGTGTTTGGGGAGTTTGTGGATGAGATTTGTTAAAGTCACCAATACTGGATCCATGGTGGAACATAAACCCATCATCTTCTTCATCATCACTGTCAGAGAGTTTATACACTGATTAATGATTATAGATTATTGATGGAAAGGGTCAGTGTGTGTTCTTTGTCTGCTCTGGTTGAAAGGCTCTGTGGTGGGGGAGGGTCTGTGGGGGTCTGTGGGGGTCTGTGGGGGCCTCCTCTTGTTCTGCTGATGTGTTTGTGGAACAATATGTTTGTAACAGGGCTGATTATTGGTAATCAATCAGAGAATAACTGATATCGTTTGCAGTCAAACTGATGTTAGAATAAGACTGTTTACACTGTGGAAGTGGGACACAGCTGGTTTCTAGGTTCATTACCCTCCCCGGGGGTGGGGGGTGGGGGGGGATGGTCATGGTCTCCCAACCCCATCATCTCCCTCCCCCCGACGAGCTCCAGCCAATCAGAGCAGTCTCTCTCCAGCAGCAGACAGGAAGCAGAGAACCAGTAGTTACCATGGTAACAACAGCGGCACTCGCACAGAGTTCAGCTGGTTCAATATCTGATCCACCAACCAATTCTATTGATCAGTATACAGTGTATCTTTATGGATGATATTGATCAGTATACACTGTATCTTTATGGATGATATTGATCAGAATACACTGTATCTTTATGGATTATTGATCAGTATACACTGTATCTTTATGGATGATATTGATCAGTATACACTGTATCTGACAGTCAGACCTATTTAGGTGATATTGATCATATTATCTTTATGGATGATATTGATCAGTGTACACTGTATCTTATGGATGATTTGCCTGTATTGACAGTCAGACTGTGGACAAATGACGGCCTTTAGCTCGTGTTTCTAGAGTTACGTGTTGTTACGAACACGTTAGGAATTGTTAAAATGTGATATTTCTTAAAGGGAGTTTGGTGCAGAACAGCTTTCCTGTTCCACTAACAGTAGTTGTTTGTTCCACTAACAGTAGTTGTTGTTGTTTGTTCCACTAACAGTAGTTGTGGTTTGTTCCACTAACAGTAGTTGTTGTTGTTTGTTCCACTAACAGTAGTTGTTGTTGTTTGTTCCACTAACATTAGTTGTGGTTTGTTCCACTAACAGTTGTTGTTGTTTGTTCCACTAACAGTTGTTGTTTGTTCCACTGACAGACTCAGGTTGTTATTGTCAGTGTCTGACAGCATTATGGAAAGGATCCCTACAGAGATAGACCTTTAGTTTAACCACAAACAGCCGTAATATCAGTATCACTCTCCACCAGACTCCAGAGACAGAAACACTCATTTTACCTTCAGATCATTGTAACTTCATTCAAAGTGGACAGAAACAAAATAAAACTCTGCAGTATATTATACTTTATATGAGATTGTAAATGTCTAGTGTTTCAGTTATTTTGTCCACCCCCTCAGAACATTATTAATTGTTCAGCTCTAAAGAGAGTGTTTCTCATTGCTAAGCGGCTCAGGTCTCAGCTGGTTCTTCCACTTCCTGATGGTGTTTGTGTTTCCTTCCTCCCTCCGCACTCGCCTGCAGGGTTGTTGGTCAGATCCTGAGCGAGGCTGTTAATATGTGGTGATGCTCTCAGAACTCTCTTGTAAAATACTGGTTTTAAGATTTAAAGTCATAAAGCTGCAAATGTGTGTTGTATAATGACTCAATAAATGACCTTGTGAGTCGTCTATAACTGAAGATATTGATTTATCTTCTTCCATTAAAACAATATGAAACTATTGTATCTGTCTCTCTGACTATCTGTCTCTCTGACTGTCTGTCCCTGAACTTACTGACCTCTGGACTGTCTTTCTCTGTCTGTCTCTCTGTTCTCTGCAGCTCCATGAGTCCTCTCTGGTTCTCATAGTCCAGCTCGCTCTCTTCCGGCTCCTCTCACTCCTCCTCATCATGTCGGCGGCTCAGACCCAAAAGGAGGGCGGCGAGGCAGGCTGGGGCTGTCTGGAGGCTCTGGGTCTCAGCCAGAAGGAGCTGGTCCTGGCCGAGGCCCTACAGATGGAGTATGACGCCCTCTCCAGACTCAAACAGGACAAGAGTGGTATGGAGACCAGCCAGAACCCTGGTCCCGGTGCTCCCAGCCAAACCCGCTCCAAAACCCCGAACTCCACCATTGAACGCTCCCGACCCATCCCTAGCAGGCCCAGTCCTGCTGCGGGCCTTCTGAGTTGCCTCTCTGGGTCTGACCCCTCCCTGAACCAGCCTGGAGGGTCACAGTCTCCCCAACCCATCCCAGCTAGGGCTCCCCCTCCCGTCAAAGAGTCCCTGTACATCCTGGACAGTCCAGAGGTCAGTAAGTTCAGGGACTGCTCTGGCTCTGGCCTTGGGGACTCTCTTCCAGATGACGTCCCCCCTGCCATACCCCCGAGAAACCCCATCACCCCATCGTCAGGGTCAGAGAACCCCTTCCTGCCCTCTCGAGGGTCCACCGTCCCCCGCGACGTGAACCTGTTCACGCCCGATGTGGATCAGCCCAAAGTGGAGCTCAACTATGACAACATCAACGAGTCGTTGTCTCGGCTCAACGGGAGCCGTCCGGAGCCCCGAGGTCGGAGGGACCAATCGGGGAAGCCCGTGGCCCGGAGTAAGACCCTCCCCCCTCAAGTCCCGCCTAGGACGTACGTACCCGTTCCCAAGAGCAACAAGAACCAGCGGCGGGTGTCTGCAGACCCGGTAAGAACCTGTGGATTTATCCTGTTACCTGTGTGATATAATTATTATGTCTCTTTTAAAGAAGTTTGGTGGAAATAAATCCTTAATTCACTGATGTAGATGATAAAAACAGCAGTTTCAGTCGGAGCAGACCAGCTATGGAAACAAACCACAGAGAGGCTGCGATACAACACAGGCAGAGGGAGAGAGACACCATGTGACTCTGTGTCTGTATATAGAGAATAGCATTTAATGTTCATTATCTCATATATAACCTTTATCAAATAATTCTCCAGTATTATTAGCACCAATTACTTACTGGAGAGTTTTTGTAAATAATTAAATAAATTAAAGCTGCAAGCAGCGTTGAGCGGGACCTCGCACTCCACACAACTCAGGGCATGCTGCGGCCGCATCACGTGCCGTCGTAACACGTATGGACCACAACATGAAAATCTCACGTAAATCAGCTCAAAATCGCCACGCAGCGCTTACTTCCTGTTGCCAGTAGGTGGCACTATCACTATGTCTGAATGTTGTCATGTAGACATGTTCAAGGCGAGACTGTTATCAAACACGTGAAGTTTCATTGTGATTGGACCACGTACTCTGAAGTTATGAGGACGTGTTCAGGGCAAAACTGTTTCAGAATATATGAAGTTTATTGGAGATTGGACATTGCACACTGAAGTTATGAGTACTATTTTATGGCGAATCTGCCACAGACACGCCGTTCAACGTACAGTCTCAAATAGCACAACTTTTAATCAGCACCATTTTTTGACTGTACTGACCAATTTTGAAGCATATCCGATAAATTCCCTAGGAGGAGTTTGTTCAAATAAAACGCGAAAAGTTCGCCGAAAGTGAAAATCAAAATCAAAATGGCCGATTTCCTGTGGGGTTTCGTGTTTGGGTCCAAGAGGCTTTTTTCTACGTCCCGGCATGTTACACGTGCCTACTGAGTTTTGTACATATCGGTGAAACGTGGCGCCGGGGCTGCTGTTTTTATCCTGTAGGGGGCGCTACAAACACGACAAACACGATTTTTGGTATGTGAGCTACAGGCAGCACTCTACACGTGCCCTGTGAATTTTATATTCATAACTATTACAGTCTCCGCACAGTGATTTACCATGCCACCAGAGCGCCACCTAGTGGCGGATTGTTGACACATTTTTTAGAGAGCCTCAGGGAGCCATGGGGAAGCATCGTACCAAGTTTCATCTTAATCACACATAACGTTGTAGAGATATAAACTTCTTCATTTATTGGCCTGAAATTGTGCACGATGCTTAAGGAAGACATGTGGAACTATGGACCCAAGTTTGGTGTCAATAGGACATACCAATGTGGAGAAATGGTCTGTTCCTTTTTTGATGAAAAATCCATAGGAAGTGTCAATTTTATAACGTGCTGGTTTTTTGAAATGTCAAAATTCTGTTAATCACTTTTTTATTATGAGGGTCCTCAGATGCTACGTGAAAACTTTTGTGCGAATCGGACAAAGTGTGTAAGAGGAACACGAAAAAATAGCTTAAGGACATTTCGTGCTCTAACGAAAGAAATTATAGGCGGAAGTGGGCGGGGCCTATATAGGAAGATTCAGCTCCATTCACCGAACGCGTGGATACAAGGTTTTTGAATGTGCGACAAACTATGCAGAAGTTATTAGCCTAAACGCACTTTTTATGATAATAGCGCCACCTAGCGGCCAACCTGAAAGTGACGCATAGAATATAACATTTTTCACGAGGCCTGACCACTTTGCCAAATAAAATTGAGTTTTTCGTGTATGTTCAGGGGGGCAAAAACGCAGTTGAAGTGGCCTAAAAATAATAATAGGTAAGAAATCGAGCAAAAACAATAGGGACCTCCAGCGGTCGCTGGCTCAGTCCCTAATTATTGGAGATATTTTACTGATCATAGTGTTCATCATAGTGACTGGATCGGTCAGAGCCTTAAATAACCTTTATTTACAGCATCAATGTGAGCAGTGAGTCTCCAAACAGGAAGCAGTGTGTGAGGGTGAAACCGCGTATCTTTGCATGTGTTGTCAGCAGCAGTCAGACAAGTTGGACCAGTTCAACAGAAACAGCACTGGTCACCAGCGAGGACAGTGTCAGTCACTAGAGCCCTACCAATGTATCAATCTGCCAATATTGGCCGGTCACAGACATATCAGTATCGTATCGGTATCGTATCCCTGTATATGTGATCACATATGATAAAATATATCTGCTGGTATATAATGCAGTGCGATGCATGTGGTGTGAAACTCTCCTGTAAACACCCACTTAGGTGTTTTCTGTGCGGCTCATTCGACCTCTGCTCTGGTCGAATGATGAATTAAAGCTGAGCACAGTGATGAACACACAGTTTGGGTCAGGGGTCCCTTGTTCAAGATAAGTCTCAGATTTTTGATGGAGCTCCATGATGTGCTTAAAAAGTCATCTTGTGATTGAGTAAAATCATGATGATGATCAGTCTGTAGTTGCCTCATCATAGTGCTGCTGTCACACACTTGGCTTTATATCAAACAGTTGTAGCTTCCTGGGGTTGCATTTTGCACTGGGCCATATCGAGAGTACACGTTTTTATCACGAATGCATCACACTCTGCACAACTGCGTCAAACTGCACCAAACTGCATCAAACTGTAACAAACTGCATCAAACTGTGTCAAACTGCGCACAGTGCATCAAACTGCGTCAAACTGCGCACAGTGCATCAAACTAAATCAAACTGTCACACTGTGTCAAACTGCGCACGCTGCATCAAACTGCGTCAAACTGAACAAAACTGCATCAGCCGCGTCAAACTGAACGAACTGCATCAGCCGCGTCACACTGTGTCAAACTGCGTCACACTGTGTCAAACTGCGTCACACTGCACCAAACTGCATCAAACTGTAACAAACTGCATCAAACTGCGCACAGTGCATCAAACTGAATCAAACTGTCACTCTGTGTCAAACTGTGCACACTGCATCAAACTGTGTCACACTGCGTCAAACTGCATCAAACTGCGTCACACTGCGTCAAACTGCATCAAACTTCGTCACACTGTCAAACTGCATCAAACTGCGCCACACTGTGTCAAACTGCATCAAACTGTAACAAACTGCGTCAAACTGCATCAAACTTCGTCACACTGCATCAAACTGCATCAAACTGCGCCACACTGCATCAAACTGCGCATACTGCACCAAACTGCGTCAAACTGCATCAAACTGTCACACTGTGTCAAACTGCACCAAACTGCATCAAACTGCACCACACTGCATCAAACTGCGTCACACTTTATCAAACTGCATCACACTGCTTCCCACTGCGTCAAACTGCGTCCCACTGCGTCCCACTGTGTCATACTGCATCCCACTGCATCCCACTACATCAAACTGCGTCAAACTGAACGAAACTGCATCGACCGTGTCAAACTGCACCAAACTGCGTCCCACTGCACCAAACTGCATCAAACTGTAACAAACTGCATCAAACTGCGTCAAACTGCGCACAGTGCATCAAACTGCGCCACACTGCGTCAAACTGAACAAAACTTCATCAGCCGCGTCAAATGAACAAGGCACAGCCCTCAAACTGAATCAAACTGCAAACTGCTTCAAACTGCGTCAAACTGAATCAGACTGCGTCAAACCATCAAACTGCGTCACACTGTGTCACACTGCATCAAACTGTAACAAACTGCATCAAACTGAACAAACTGCGTCACACTGCATCAAACTGCATCATACTGCACCAAACTGCGTCACACTGCATCAAACTGCATCAAACTGTAACAAACTGCGTCACACTGCATCAAACTGTGTCAAACTGCACCAAACGCCAAACTGCATCAAACTGTCACACTGCATCAAACTGCACCACACTGCATCAAACTGCGTCACACTTTATGAAACTGCATCACACTGCTTCCCACTGCGTCCCACTGTGTCATACTGCATCCCACTGCATCCCACTACATCAAACTGCGTCAAACTGAACGAAACTGCATCGACCGTGTCAAACTGCACCAAACTGCGTCCCACTGCACCAAACTGCATCAAACTGTAACAAACTGCATCAAACTGCGTCAAACTGCGCACAGTGCATCAAACTGCGCCACACTGCGTCAAACTGAACAAAACTTCATCAGCCGCGTCAAACTGAACGAAACAGCATCAGCCGCGTCAAACTGAATCAAACTGCGTCAAACTGCTTCAAACTGCGTCAAACTGAATCAGACTGCGTCAAACTGCATCAAACTGCGTCACACTGTGTCACACTGCATCAAACTGTAACAAACTGCGTCACACTGCATCAAACTGCATCAAACTGTAACAAACTGCGTCACACTGCATCAAACTGCATCAAACTGTAACAAACTGCGTCACACTGCATCAAACTGCATCAAACTGCATCAAACTGCGTCACACTGCATCAAACTGCATCAAACTGTAACAAACTGCGTCACACTGCATCAAACTGCATCAAACTGCATCAAACTGCGTCACACTGCATCAAACTGCACCAAACTGCATCAAATTGCGTCACACTGCACCAAACTGCATCAAACTGTGTCACTCTGTGTCAAACTGCGCACACTGCACCAAACTGCGTCACACTGTCACGCTGCACCAAACTGCATCAGACTGCATCAAACTGCATCACACTGTCAAACTGCACCAAACTGCATCAAATTGCATCACACTGCACCAAACTGTATCAAACTGTAACAAACTGCATCAAACTGCATCAAACTGCATCAATCTGCGTCCCACTGCACCAAACTGCATCAAACTGCATCAAACTGCGTCATACTGCATCAAACTGCATCAAACTGCGTAACAATGTGTCAAACTGCGCCAAACTGCATCAAATTGTAACAAACTACACTAAACTGCATTAAATTGCGTCACACAGCATCAAACTGCGTCACACTGTGTCACACTTATGGTCGTGTCAGTCAAGTCTTTTCTTAATAATACATAATTAATAATTGCATCATCAGGTTGTATTTCTGTGCTCTGATTGATTGCCTGTATGATTGACAGGTGTCTCTGGCGTCCAGGATGAACGGGTTTGGATACGAACTCTTCCAGGTGTCTGAGGAGAGAGACGAGGAGGTGGCGGCTTTCTGTCACATGCTGGACGTGTGAGTAACACACACACACACACACACACACACACACACACACACACACACACACACACACACACACACACACAGTAACAGTAACACAGACAGTAACACACATACACAGTAACACGCACACACAGTAACACACAGTAACAGACACACACACACACACACACACACACACAGTAACTGTGTCTCTGTTTTCTGCAGGTTACGTTCGGCGTACCCACACAGCGACCGCTCGAAGAATGCCGGCTTCGTTTGGTCGCCGCCCGTTGGTCAGGAGGAGCTGCATCAGGGTCTCGGGGTCAGTGTGAAGGTCACCATCATCAGCGAGCACTTCAGAGAGCCTCTCACCTTTACCTGTGACGGTAAGACAGGAAGTGACTGCAGCCAGTGACTTCACAGTGAAAGTCAAAGAAAGGAGCACTGTGAGGAAGTGTCACTAATCAACATGAAATAATATAGAATAATAAATATATTTATTATAATCTATAGTTTAAGCTGTAACTCTGTGTGTTTGAGGCTCGTCCACCGTGGACCTGCTGATCTATCAGACTCTGTGCTACGCTCAGGATGATCTGGATCACATGGACGTGGACCACTACCTGCTCAAGGTCTGCGGACACGATGAGTTCCTCAACAAGTAAGAATCTCAAACATGGTCTGAGTGACACCACAGATTTGTAACTCTCTGTGTACTGTACCTCTATTTAACAATGTCAGAACATTCACTCAAAACTCAAATTCTTTGTAATTTGTAATATTTAAATCCAATTGTTTTGTCTTCCTGTTAAAAAAAAACACAACTGGATTGTAATTTATGGAGGCTCTCCACCGCTGTCTGTCTCACAGAGCGGTTGTACAGCAGCTCCACTCTGCATCATCGCATCATCACATCACAGCTGCTGGAGCTGGGATTGAAACAGTAACTCTCTGTCTGTCTGTCTGTCTGTCTGTCAGCTCTCAGACTCTGGCTGGTCTGGAGTTCGTCCAGCAGTGTCTGAAGTTCGACTGGGACGTCCAACTGTTTCTGACCAAGAGATCTGCCATCAACACAGAGCTGGCCCGCACGGTTCGAACACACACAGATATTATTGATTTATGTCTTATTATTGTTGATTACTTGTGTTATTTATATTGTAGATGTGAGATTTGTGTGGTACAAGATTATCGTGCAGAGGAAGAAACATTTTGTGCCGCTAATAACAGAAAGAAGACGATGAGACGTCGTCCACCATGAACCACAGCATCCTGCTGCAGGAGCGTCCAATCAAACAGACCGTCACCAGGTGAGGGGGCAGAGCCTGTACCTCAACACAATAATAATAATAATAATAATAATAATAATAATAATAATTTCTGTCTGATCAGGGAGGCTCTGACTCTGCTGTTGGATACGTTTCATAATGAGGCCGAGTCCTTCCTGCTGTCAGAGGTAACACACACTCACACTCCACTGTCTGTAATATTTCCTACTAAGATCCTTAAAAATAAACCATTTGGGGTTCTCTTAAGGTGGAGCTACCGCTGCATGTGGAGCGTCTCGTCCAATCAGTGAAGGCGCTCTGCAACTCGTTAGCTGCCGTGGAGACGCCTGATGTGACCTTCGCCCTCAACCAGCTCCCAGCATGCCCCTGTCGTCTGCAGCCCAAAGTCCTCAAGGTGAAAGACACTGACAAGAGTCCTCAGATTATCATTTAAAGTTCTTCAGTGATGGATCACATGTTAATGTCCTCTCTGTCTCTCTCTCTGTCTGTCTCTGTCTCTCTCTCTGTCTGTCTCTCTCTCTGTCTCTGTCTGTCCTCCCAGGATGCATCAGTGCTGGCTGTCAGAGAGAACAGAGGTAAGGACACAGCTCAACAATAAACAGTCTGTCACTGATGTCACTGATGTCACTGATGTCACTGATGCTTCGTCTCTTCTTTCACAGAGAAAGTGGTGGAGAAGTTGACGGCGGCCATCTTGGATCTGGTGGAGCTTTACTGCAGCACGTTCAACGCCAACTTCCACACAACGCCACAGAGTCACTGCTGCACGGCACCGGTGCAGGAGGCCGGCCTCGTCACCAACGTGCTGTCCTTCAACGTGTACGCCGCTCACCGCATCCCCATCACCTGGGCCGCCAGGTACAAACACACTCACTCACACAGTCAGTCAGTGTGGGGACCCCTACAGGCTGTATTACAGTCAGTGTGGGGACCCCTACAGGCTGTATTACAGTCAGTGCGGGGACCCCTGCAGGCTGCAGGCTGTATTACAGTCAGTGCGGGGACCCCTGCAGGCTGTATTACAGTCAGTGTGGGGACCCCTACAGGCTGTATTACAGTCAGTGTGGGGACCCCTACAGGCTGCAGGCTGTATTACAGTCAGTGTGGGGACCCCTGCAGGCTGTATTACAGTCAGTGCGGGGACCCCACAGGCTGCAGGCTGTATTACAGTCAGTGTGGGGACCCCTACAGGCTGCAGGCTGTATTACAGTCAGTGTGGGGACCCCTACAGGCTGCAGGCTGTATTACAGTCAGTGTGGGGACCCCTACAGGCTGCAGGCTGTATAACAGTCAGTGTGGGGAGTGTGTGTCTGTGTGTGTGAGTGTGTGTGTGTGTGTGTGTGTGTGTGTGTGTGTGTGTGTGAGTGTTTGTGTGTCTGTGTGTGTGTATTTGTGTGAGTGTGAGTGTTTGTGTGTCTGTGTGTGTTTGTATTTGTGTGAGTGTGTGTGTATTTGTGTGAGTGTGAGTGTGTGAGTGTGTGTGTGTTTGTGAGTGTGTGTGTGTGTGTGTGTGTATGCGTGTGTGTGTGTAGAGCTGGAATGTAACTAAGTACATTTACTCGAGTATAACGCTGAGGGACTTCTGTTTTCGTCCAACTTTTTATTTCTGCTCCACATCTCGGAGGTTAATCTGGTGACAGTTTGTTTTTTCATATTAAAAGAGAAAATAATTATAAAAAATAAATTATTATAATAATTTTAACACATAGATTAACACAGTTATCAAAAACTCTCCAACCCTGCAGATTAATATCTGTTGCTGTGACTGTGTCAGTATGAAGATGATGTTGGCAGTGAAATAAACATGAGTAAAATATATAAAACACATTTAAAGCTCCTGTATGTAATGCTCATTAAACTGTAGTTAACAGCTCCACCATTTATAAACTAATGTTAGCTAGTGTTGCCCACTGTTGACACTCGGAGCATAAAGGTCACAACCTTTGACCCTCATCCCTATATAGAGACACATAGAGATCAGTCCACAGGCAGCAGAGGAACAAAGCTACACTACAACCTGTTCACTAATCAATACACTGATCAATAATCTGATGTCTGAAAACTTTAAATGTAAACAATAATAGCTGGTGATCAGATTCTTCATCGTGTCCCTGTCCTACTCTCTCATTGGTCAGTTACGAGGGTTTCTTCCTGTCCTGCTCTCTGAGTCATGGAGGGGCGGAGCTCTGCGCGCCGCAGCACACCAGCAAACAGTCAGTCAGCAAATACCTGTTCCACCTGGTGGTGTGGGACCAGAGGTACGTACCCTCACCTGGTGACATCACAGCCTCACCTGGTGACATCACAGCCTCATCCTCACCTGTCTCCCCCTGTCTCTCCCGTCTCCCCCCTGCCTCAGGGTTTGCTTCCCGGTGCAGATCAACCAGCTGCCCAGAGAGTCTCAGTTGACGGTGACCCTGTACGCCAGCTCTCTGCCGCCCCCCGGAGGAACAGAGGAGAAGGGGAAGCAGCGGCGCAGCATCGAGGCTCTGGGCTGGGTCACCATGCCACTCTTCAACTTCAGACAGTGAGTCACATGACCCAACTCAACCAATCAGTGAGCCGGGCTAGCTGTTTATGCTAAGCTGGCAAACTAGATGATGAAATATGAAATATGAAAATGGGTACACACATAGATCATGTCCTGATGTACAAAAAAGCTTGTTGGACCCAAACCCAACAGGAAGTCAGCCATATTGGATTTCATGTTCATTTTAGGTGATTTACTCCTCCTCGAGAATTGATCAGATAAAAAGATCGGAAAGGTTAGCAAAATCTTGAGTTTTCGTTGAGCAGCATTCCTGAGGAGAGGTGTCAAAATTCGATGTAAACAGGAAGTTGTTGTAACTTGAGTGTACCCAAATGACATGTTTAACACTCAGTCATATCGCCACCTGCTGGCAACAGGAAGTAAACCTCGTGTGACAGCCTTTACTGGATTTACCTGTAATAAGTGGCAGTCAGCTAGCGCCACACGGTGGACACAGGAAGTGACATCTTTCTCCTTTTTCACAGACTCGACAACCTCTGTTCATGTTCGTTGTTTTCATTATTAGCAGTGTAGCATTAATATTATTATCACCTGACTATTCTCTTTTTATTTTTACTCTTAATCTGTTTTAGGTTCCTGTGTAACATCTGTACAGTCCTCACTCTGGATTATTAACAACAATAAAGACATGACAACATTAACTGAGTGACTAAATATCAGACAGCCGATCAATATTGATTTTAGGTCAGAGAAAACCAGGAAATTTAGACACTAGTTTCATGATAATGTACATTATATACATTATATATGTAAATTATATATACAGTATGCATTATATACATTATGTAAATTATATATACACAGTATACATTATATACATTATATGTACATTATATACATTATATATACAGTATACATTATATACACTGTATACATTATATACACTGTATATATTATATGTACATTATATATACGTATACATTATGTACATTATATATACAGTATACATTATAAACCTTATGTACATTATATATACAGTATACATTATGTACATTATATATACAGTATACATTATATACACAGTATACATGATATACACCATATACATTATGTACATTATATGTACATTATATATACGTATACATTATGTACATTATATATATACAGTATACATTATATACATTATGTACATTATATATACAGTATACATTATATACACTATGTACATTATATATACAGTATACATTATATACACTATGTACATTATATATACAGTATACATTATGTACATTATATATACAGTATACATTATATACACCATATACATTATGTACATTATATGTACATTATATATACGTATACATTATGTACATTATATATACAGTATACATTATATACATTATGTACATTATATATACAGTATACATTATATACACCATATACACTATGTACATTATATACACAGTATACATTATGTACATTATATATACAGTATACATTATATACATTATATATACAGTATACATTATATACACCATATACATTATGTACATTATATATACAGTATACATTATATACATTATGTACATTATATATACAGTATACATTATAAACGTTATGTACATTATATACACCATATACATTATGTACATTATATGTACATTATATATACACGTATACATTATGTACATTATATATGTACATTATATATACACACAGTATACATTATATACATTATGTACATTATACGTACATTATATACACAGTACAGTATACATTATATACATTATGTACATTATATACACTACTCACAAAAAGTTAGGGATATTCCACTTTCGGGTGAAATTTAATAAAAATGTAAAAAGTTGATGCTACAGTGATATTATATCATGAAAGTAGGGCATTTATAATAATAATAATACATTTTATTTATAAGCGCTTTTCTAAATACTCAAAGACACTTTACATAAAAACATAAAAGCAGCAAAACAACATCAAATAGTAAAACATTAAAAACACATCAGACTAAGCTAAACATTAAAAGCAATTTTAAAAAGGTGAGTTTTTGTGAGTGATTTGAATGTTGGAAGGTCGGTACAGTCACGGATGTGTTTGGGGAGAGAGTTCCAGAGGGAGGGGGCAGCTACAGAGAACGCTCTAAGTAGAGAAGTTCAAATTAAGATCACCTGGAAAGGTTATAGTACATTTTATGTACATTCTGAAATTTTATCCGAAAGCCAAATATCCCTAACTTTTTGTGAGTAGTGTACACATTATATATGTACATTATATACATTATATATGTACATTATATACACTATATATGTATATTATGTACATTATATACATTATATATGTACATTATATACACTGCATATGTACATTATATACACTCTACATGTACATTATATATACAGTATACATTATATACACTATACGCGTCAACGTCAAATTTTTGCGTCACCGCGACACACACACACACACACACACTTGGGAGACCAAAACATTGCAGAATGGAGGACGAAACAGCAACCTCGTCACAGAATTCCCAATAAAAGCCCCAATAAAAGAAAAAAGTCCTAAAAAAGCAGCTCGCCCTGAATCATCGAAGGTTTGGGAATACTTCAGATTCAGTCCCAAACGTAAAGGTGTGGTTATTGGCGCTCTTTGCTGTGGTGCTGGTGTGGTATGCCAACTCCATTTGGCAATGTGGGAGCATCTGGGGCGGAGGCGCCCCGTTGTCGCTCGTGGAGGAGACGGTGGCAGGTGGGTGCTGGCGTTGGCTGGGTTGGTTTCATGTTTGTGTGGCTCGGGCTCTGCACACTTCGGTGGTGCTGACCGGCTGTCTTGGCTCTCCGTGTGGTTTGTTCGTGCTGGGCTGGTGGCTAACGTTAACGTTGGCTAACTACTGGCGCCTAGACAGCTGTGTTTAACTAACGTTAGTTATCATCTAATGTTGGCTTGAATGGTAGCTGGCTTACGGTAGTAGCTAACGGTGGCTGGTGTGGGCTCTGGCTGCTGGCCTGCCGCGGGCAGGCTGTGGTGGTTGGCTGGTGCCACCGGGGTGCGCGGAGCTCGGGCGGCGAGGTGCGCTGCGCGGGCATGAGATTGAAATGGCCAGCATTGGTGCTTGTTGTTGTTGTTGTTGTTGTTGTTGTTGTTGTTGTCGTCTCCTTCGCGAGTGGGAAAGAGTGCCTTCGTTTCAGAGAAAGAGCTAAGATGCGTTATATATACATTATATATATGTACAATATACATATATACACAGTATACATTATATACATTATATACATTATGTACTATATATTGTATACAGTATACATTCTATACATTATGTACATAATGTATAGAATGTATACATGTTAAAAACATCTGCTGATGAGTCTTTATTATCCTTACAGATCCAGGTTCAGCCTTTATGATGTAATTTCCTCCACAGCAGCAGGAAGTGTGTGGACTGACAGTGTGTGTGTGTGTGTGTGTGTGTGTGTGTGTGTGTGTGTGTGTGCGCGCAGCGTGCTGACGTGTGGCAGGAAGTTACTCGGCCTGTGGCCTTCAGCGCCTGGGAGGAGCGGGAACGCCCGGACGAGCTCGCCGAACTTCAGCCAACCGGACAGCGTGATCCTGCAGGTGAGACAGGAGGTCTCTCTCTCTCTGTTTCCCAGCATGCATTTCTCCTCAGCCAGCAGTGATGGTGGAAGATTTGACTGTTGTTGTGTTGATAAATCCAGTTTAAAGATTTAATAAAAGAGTTGTTTATATTCTACATCAGAATGAACAGGAAGTCAGTTTATTTACAACCTTCACATTAAGAGACATATAACGACGTATAAAATTAAATACAAATACAAAAGTCCTGTGTGTTTGCAAAATGCTGACAAACTATCAGGCTAAGCTACATCAATCATGAGCTGATGGGTAACATTAATGATTGATGTAGATTACCAAACTAGCTAGCTAGTTAGCTAGAGTTTTGCAAACTGCTATATATATATTATATATATATGTATGTTAGCCTAGCATATCGCATATCTAAGTACAGGAAAGGAGGAAGTTGACCTGCGCAACTGTTTGGATGGAGCACAGAGCAGATAGGGACGTGGCTTAGGACAGGTAGCTTGGAAAAAGTTGTCTCCAATTAAATAAGTTAGACCACACTTACTATGAGCTCCTCAGACCTCTAAACATTTTACAATCTGAAACAAACAAATCTGTCTGTCTCTCAGGTGGACTTTCCCACCTCTTCCTTCGAGGTTCGGTTCAGTACTCCTCCTTCAGCAGAGTTCTGTCCTCAGTACGACTTCTCCAGACTGGACACCATCAGTCAGATCCAGCTGCAGGACGTCCTCCACAAGAAGGCCGTCTTCTGGTCAGAGACACACGCATATAAAGGCCTGATAATGATCCTGATCAGTCTGATCAATAATCAATAGTCCCATTATTAAAGCATTAATCAAACTAATACCATCAGACAACCTGATCAGCCTTCAGCAGTTAGCTAGTGTTTCTGTAGTGGAGACTAAACGTTAACAATGATCCATATCAGCAGTTTGAATCCAACTAAAAGCTCCCTGCACCAAACTCCCTTTAAGAAATATCACATTTTAACAATTCCTAACGTGTTCGTAACAACACGTAACTCTAGAAACACGAGCTAAAGGCCGTCATATGTCCACAGTCTGACTGTCAATACAGGATCAATATCATCCATAAAGATACAGTGTATACTGATCAATATCATCCATAAAGATACAGTGTATACTGATCAATATCATCCATAAAGATACAGTGTATACTGATCAATATCATCCATAAAGATACAGTGTATACTGATCAATATCATCCATAAAGATACAGTGTATACTGATCAATATCATCCATAAAGATACAGTGTATACTGATCAATGATCCATAAAGATACAGTGTATACTGATCAATATCATCCATAAAGATACAGTGTATACTGATCAATATCATCCATAAAGATACAGTGTATTCTGATCAATAATCCATACAGATACAGTGTATACTGATCAATATCATCCATACAGATACAGTGTATACTGATCAATATCATCCATAAAGATACAGTGTATACTGATCAATATCATCCTTAAAGATACAGTGTATTCTGATCAATAGAATTGGTTGGATCAGATATTGATCCCTGACCTTCACTGTGAGCAGGCTGACGGTGGAGGACAAGCGTCTGCTGTGGGAGAAGAAAGCTTTCTGTCAGGCGGAGAGTGCGGCTCTGCCTCTGGTTCTGGCCAGCGCCCCCTGCTGGCAGTGGGCCTGCCTGCCCGACATCTACGCCCTGCTGAGGCAGTGGGCCTGCCTGGGTCACCTGGACGCCCTGGGACTTCTCCACGCCTCGTACGTCCCGGCTCACCAAGCTCACCTGTCCGTCTGAGGCTGTGACACCTGAGTGACATCCTCACATGTGTGTTTCAGGTTCCCGGACCAGGAGCTGAGGAGGACGGCGGTTCAGTGGATGGACTCCATCTCAGATCCAGAGCTGCTGGACTTCCTGCCTCAGCTCGTCCAGGTAACGGATGGGCTTTTATTTTCTGAACTGCAGGGAGAACCAGGCTTTTATTTTGTAAACTCCAGAGAGAAGTGGCTTTTATTTTGCCAACTCAACAACCAGGCTGAAACTTCCTGTTTCAATGAATCTCTACACTTTCTGCACGGACTTTTCACATTAAAAGCCTTCCAGTAGCTTTGAATCTACCATGTGTGAGATTATAGTGAGTCACACAGTCTTATTTTATTATATATTGAACAATGGATCAATACTCCTGATCTCCCGTCTGCGTGTTTGTGTCTCAGGCTGTGAAGTACGAGTGTTACCTGGATAGTTCGCTGGTTCGATTCCTCCTACGGAGAGCCATCGGGGACATTCGCATCGCTCACTACCTCTTCTGGTCAGCTGATCTCACGCTCGCACTGACTGTATATAGGCGGTGTTTATGGGTTAATCACTGATCAATACTCTGATTGGCTCCCAGGCTGCTGAAGGACAACCTGCAGGACAGTCAGTTCAGCGCTCGCTATCAGCACCTGCTGGCTGCTCTGCTTTGCTGCGTTGGCCGAGGTCTCCGGGAAGAGTTCGACCGCCAGTGCTGGCTCGTCTCCGTCCTCGCCACGGTGGCGCACAAAGTCCGAGACTCCACGCCGTCCAACAGACAGGTAATACGATTATTGATTATTGATATTGATATGTAATATTCTATAATTAAAATACAGTTTTTGCTTTAATTTTAACATAAAATCTTTATATTGTTTAATTAAAGATATTTACAGTGTAAACAATGATCTATAAATCCAGGTGAACTCTGCTATAATACAATAATCAGACTTACATCTACAGCAGAGTGCTGTTATTATTGGATTGTTATTATTTTAATGTGAATGTTAAAAGTTATAGAAGTGTAATAAAAGTCATTATCTGTGAGATTACAGTAATTATTGCTGTTTACACTGATAACAACTGTATTTGGACAGTTTACCTTATACACTGATAAACAACATTTATTCAACTTCCATCATTATACAACATATCTGTCAGTTCACTAACTAATACATTAAAGTTACACAACTAATACTTTTTTACTGTTAATGTCACTAATTTTACATAATTTTGGAATTATTAACTGTATTAAACTTGAATATAACAGTTTAATCTATTAAATTAACAGTAAATATTTTCTTTAATTACAGCCGGTAAACAAGCAGATTATAAATTGTTTTATTGATTGGTTAATAATTTGGTCTCTGAAATATCAAAAAAGGGTTAGGGTTAAAACGTTTGTTTTGTCCAAAAGTAAAAGTGACAGAACAAACTGAAATGTAAAGTATAATTCATATGTTTATGATTAAATGTTGATTTTTGTTGTGAGCTTCGATACAGTAACAGTCCAGCAGGGGGCAGCACCTGATGTCATATTTATTATTATTGTTGTTGTTGTTGTTGTTGTTATTGTTGGTATTGTGTATGGCAGTGTGTCCTCAGGGACGGTCTGGAGGAGATGAAGCAGTTCTTCTCAGTGAACAGCAGCTGTAGACTTCCTCTCAACCCGGCGCTGCTGGTCACAGGAATCAACATCCAGGTACTGAAACATGTTAGCATCGTAGCTCTGTGGATGCTAACATTAGTCCTCACAGTCTTCCTCTAGCGCCATCAACAGGTCAACATTTGGACCAATAATGAGCAAATTAATGACATTCCCATCAGCCTTAGCTGCACTTTGTCTTTGGCTAATTAGATAAGTTAGTATGCTAACACAGTAAACAACGATGGTTAACATTACACCTGCATGAGCATGTTAGCATTGTGATGTGGTATATACAGGTTGTATATCAGCACTGTCTTCCTGTTGTTACACACTTTAATGTGAAGCCATTAGTGTCCAGTGAGTCCTCACTGCCACAGAGGACATCAGAGTAAGTGGTCCTTCAATGTACACCTGTTCACCGACACGTATACAGGTGGGTGTACAGGTGTAAACATCTCTTCTTCTGTCTCTTATAGTCGTGTTCCTTCTTCAACTCCAACGCTGTTCCTCTCAAACTGTCCTTCCAAAACCTCGACCCTCTGGGAGACAACATCAATGTCATCTTCAAGGTAAAACATCTCACCCGTTCTCACCCGTTCTCACCCGTTCTCACCTGTTCTCACGTGGTCTCACCCGTTCTCACCCGTTCTCACCCGTTCTCACCCGTTCTCACCTGTTCTCACCCGTTCTCACCTGTTCTCACCTGTTCTCACGTGGTCTCACCCGTTCTCACCTGTTCTCACGTGGTCTCACGTGGTCTCACCTGTTCTCACCCGTTCTCACCTGTTCTCACGTGGTCTCACCCGTTCTCACCCGTTCTCACCCGTTCTCACCCATTTTCATCCGTTCTCACCCATTCTCACCTGTTCTCACCCGTTCTCACCTGTTCTAACGTGGTCTCACCCGTTCTCACCTGTTCTCACTTGTTCTCATCCGTTCTCACCTGTTCTCACGTGGTCTCACCCGTTCTCATCCGTTCTCACCCATTCTCACCTGTTCTCACCCGTTCTCACGTGGTCTCACCCATTCTCACCCGTTCTCACGTGGTCTCACCCATTCTCACCTGTTCTCACGTGGTCTCACCCGTTCTCACCTGTTCTCACGTGGTCTCACCCGTTCTCACCTGTTCTCACCCATTTTCATCCGTTCTCACCCGTTCTCACCTGTTCTCACCCGTTCTCACCTGTTCTCACTTGTTCTCATCCACTTCACCTGTTCTCACGTGGTCTCACCCATTCTCATCCGTTCTCACCTGTTCTCACGTGGTCTCACCCGTTCTAACGTGGTCTCACCCGTTCTCACCTGTTCTCACGTGGTCTCACCCGTTCTCATGTGGTCTCACCCGTTCTCACCTGTTCTCACGTGGTCTCACCTGTTCTCACCTGTTCTCACATGGTCTCACCCGTTCTCACCCATTCTCATCCGTTCTTGCCTGTTCTGACACGTTCTCACCCGTTCTCACCCGTTCTCACCCGTTCTCACCTGTTCTCACATGGTCTCACCCGTTCTCACCCATTCTCATCCGTTCTCGCCTGTTCTCACCCGTTCTCACCTGTTCTCACGTGGTCTCACCCGTACTCAAGTGGTCTCACCCGTTCTCACCTGTTCTCACCTGTTCTCACGTGGTCTCACCCGTTCTCACCCGTTCTCATCCGTTCTCACCTGTTCTCACCTGTTCTCACCTGTTCTCACGTGGTCTCACCCGTTCTCACCCGTTCTCACCTGTTCTCACCTGTTCTCACCCGGTCTCACCCGGTCTCACCCGTTCTCTGCTGTTCTCACCCGTTCTCATCAGTTCTCACCTGTTCTCACCTGTTCTCACGTGGTTTCACCCGTTCTCACCCGTTCTCACCCGTTCTCACGTGGTCTCACCCGTTCTCACCCGTTCTCATCTGTTCTCACCTGTTCTCACCCGCTCTCACCTGTTCTCATCCGTTCTCACCTGTTCTCACCTGTTCTCATCCGTTCTCACCTGTTCTCATCCGTTCTCACCTGTTCTCATCCGTTCTCACGTGGTCTCACCCGTTCTCACCCGTTCTCATCTGTTCTCACCTGTTCTCACCCGCTCTCACCTGTTCTCATCCGTTCTCACCTATTCTCACCTGTTCTCATCCGTTCTCACCTGTTCTCACCCGCACCCCGGTTGATGTCTCTGTCCAGTCAGGAGACGACCTGCGGCAGGATATGCTGACTCTACAGGTGATCCGGATCATGAACAAGATCTGGATCCAGGAGGGTCTGGACATGAGAATGGTCATCTTCAAATGTTTCTCCACCGGCAGAGGACGAGGTGAGGACAGTCACAGAGCTGGCAAATAGAACAAAATAAAAAGAAATAAAACAAACTGTGACTGACAGGTGTGTTGTTACTGTTCTCAGGTATGGTGGAGATGATTCCTCACGCTGACACTCTGAGGAAGATCCAGGTTGAACATGGAGTCACTGGGTCCTTTAAAGACCGACCACTGGCTGACTGGTTGCAGAAACACAACCCTACTGACGAGCAGTACGACAAGGTACGCACACCTGTACACATCTGTACACACCTGCACGAACACCTGCACACACCTGCACACACAGTACAGAGCCGTCAGGTTTTTGTCGCTCAACTGTGAACGGTCTCACTGTGTTCAGGCGGTGGAGAACTTCATCTACTCATGTGCCGGCTGCTGTGTGGCGACCTACATCCTGGGAATCTGTGACCGCCACAATGACAACATCATGCTGAAGACCAGTGGTCACATGTTCCACATCGACTTCGGGAAGTTCCTGGGACACGCGCAGATGTTCGGTAATATCAAACGGTGAGTCACGTTATGATATTCCTGTTTACGATGAATGAACCTGTTCAGACAGTGACAGGTAGTTGCAGAGTTAACAGCAGCGTTCCAGTGTAACAGGTGTACAGTAGGCGGAGTCTATGGTGAACACACCTGTTCAGACAGTGCAGGTAATGTAAACAGTGAAATTGAATATAATCTAGGACCAGCTGCAGGTGTGTTGTAACCTGCATGTTCTTTGGGTCATGTGACGTGTGCAGGGACCGCGCCCCCTTTGTGTTTACCTCCGACATGGCATACGTCATCAACGGAGGAGACAAACCGTCCAGTCGCTTCCACGACTTTGTGGATCTGTGCTGCGAGGCGTACAACCTGATCAGGAAACACACACACCTGTTCCTCAACCTGCTGGGCCTGGTGGGTACGACACACACTGCACACAGTCTGCCAGCAATCCCACAATGTACTGCTGCACGAGTAACAGAACAACCTCTGTGTGTGTGCAGATGTTGTCCTGTGGGATCCCGGAACTCTCTGACCTGGAGGACCTGAAGTACGTCTATGACGCGCTGAGACCTCATGAGTCCGAGGCCGACGCCACCATGTACTTCACCAGGTACGCACACACACAGGTACAGACACAGGTTCAGGTACAGGTACAGATGCAGATACAGATACAGGTACAGGTACAGGTACTGGTACAGATACAGGTACAGATACAGGTACAGGTACAGATACAGGTACAGATACAGGTACAGGTACAGGTACAGATATAGATACAGGTACAGATACAGGTACAGGTACAGATACAGGTACAGGTACAGAGGGTTGTTACCTGTGTGAGGATACAGATGACAGAATCTGTTCTTCCTCAGGTGAAACAGGAAAGTTACCACATTTCATCTAAAACAAAACATTTCTGTTCACTTAAAGTTAGCCACTTAGCCTAGATTAGCAAGTTAGCCACTGCTAACATAATTTCAAGCTAAAGTTAGCAGCCTTCCAACCTGTTTCCTGTAATTAAATAATCAGTGTTGGGATAATTAAATATCAAAAACAACCAACCTCCTATCTGACCTCCTATCTGACCTCTCAACTGAGCAGGTTGATCGAGTCCAGTCTTGGCAGTGTCGCCACCAAACTCAACTTCTTCATCCACAATCTGGCTCAGATGAAGTTCGCCTCGTCAGAGGATCGGCCCACACTTTCGTTTGCTCCCAGAGTTCACACGGCAAAGAGCGACGGGCTCATCAGGAACCTCTACATCTGCAGACACATCCGAACAGGCAGCAAAGGATACGTGAGTCCGACTCTGCCAAACACTCCCAAACACTCCCAAACACTCCCAAACACTCCCAAACATTCTCAAACAGTAACAAACACTCCCAAACACTCCCAAACACTCCCAAACATTCCCAAACACTCCCAAACATTCCCAAACATTCCCAAACATTCTCAAACAGTAACAAACACTCACCAACACTCACAAACACTCACAAACATTCCCAAACACTCACAAACACTCACAAACACTCCCAAACACTCCCAAACATTCCCAAACATTCCCAAACAGTAACAAACACTCACAAACACTCCCAAACACTCCCAAACATTCCCAAACACTCCCAAACACTCCCAAACACTCCCAAACATTCTCAAACAGTAACAAACACTCCCAAACACTCCCAAACACTCCCAAACATTCCCAAACACTCCCAAACATTCCCAAACATTCCCAAACATTCCCAAACAGTAACAAACACTCCCAAACACTCACAAACACTCCCAAACACTCCCAAACACTCCCAAACACTCCCAAACATTCCCAAACATTCCCAAACAGTAACAAACACTCCCAAACACTCCCAAACACTCCCAAACATTCCCAAACACTCCCAAACACTCCCAAACACTCCCAAACACTCCCAAACATTCCCAAACATTCCCAAACACTCACAAACACTCCCAAACACTCACAAACATTCCCAAACACTCCCAAACACTCACAAACACTCACAAACACTCACAAACACTCACAAACACTCACAAACATTCCCAAACACTCACAAACACTCACAAACACTCACAAACATTCCCAAACACTCACAAACACTCACAAACACTCACAAACATTCCCAAACACTCCCAAACACTCACAAACACTCACAAACACTCACAAACATTCCCAAACACTCCCAAACACTCACAAACACTCACAAACATTCCCAAACATTCTCAAACAGTAACAAACACTCCCAAACACTCCCAAACATTCCCAAACAGTAACAAACACTCCCAAACACTCCCAAACATTCCCAAACACTCCCAAACATTCCCAAACATTCTCAAACACTCACAAACACTCACAAACACTCACAAACACTCACAAACACTCCCAAACAGTCACAAACACTCCCAAACACTCCCAAACATTCCCAAACATTCCCAAACATTCTCAAACAGTAACAAACACTCCCAAACACTCCCAAACATTCCCAAACAGTAACAAACACTCCCAAACACTCCCAAACACTCACAAACATTCCCAAACACTCCCAAACACTCCCAAACATTCCCAAACACTCCCAAACACTCCCAAACATTCTCAAACAGTAACAAACACTCACAAACACTCACAAACACTCACAAACACTCCCAAACACTCACAAACATTCCCAAACACTCCCAAACACTCCCAAACATTCCCAAACACTCCCAAACATTCCCAAACATTCTCAAACAGTAACAAACACTCACAAACACTCACAAACACTCCCAAACACTCCCAAACACTCACAAACACTCACAAACATTCCCAAACACTCACAAACACTCACAAACACTCACAAACACTCACAAACATTCCCAAACAGTCACAAACATTCCCAAACAGTCACAAACACTCCAGAAAAACCTCCAAACATTCCCAAACAATCACAATCACTCCCAGACACTCCTAAACACCCCCAAACTTTTAGGGACATTTTTCTGACGTTCAGACTGAAAGACGAAGCTTTACATTCTAAAACAGCAGTTGTTCGTCTTGAATTTCAACCTTTATTTAACCCTGTAACACTCACAGTTTGTTTCTGTACTGAAATAATAACAGGAAGAGATCACAAGCACATTGTGTTCTGAGGTCAGTTTAATACCATAAAATAATAATACTGTATTGATATTATCTATTAGGAGCATAGATTCTCTGTGCCAGGGGGCAGCAACCTTTACTGTTACTACATATTTGATATCAATAATGTATCAATAATATATAATAGACAGTCTGTGGCAAAGTGTCTTTACTCTTTGGGGAAGTGAAGACGATCATTAACTGTAATGGGATCAGTTATTTCAGATGTTGAACTGTTCACATGGAACATTTTACACAAACTCAATTCTGTAAGTTAAAAATGATTCCTGATTAAGTATTTTAAGTTTTTTTGTCTTTCACTGTATCACTTAAAATTACTAAAGGACGTTTTTAACTACCAAATTGATTTGGTTTTACTTAAAATTTTAATTAGTTAAAATAATGTTTTGAGTTAAATTAACTTATACAGTATAATCTAAACTTTATAAACAGTTTCCTTTAGTTTCCCTGCTGCTGAGATAAAGTTCTCCTGTGTGTGTTTCAGGCCTTTGTGGTGAAGGTGGAGCGTGACGGCCAGCAGGAGGCGCTGCTGGTCCAGAGGACGTTTGAGGAGTTTCAGGAGCTGCACAGCAAACTGAGACTGATGTTCCCCTCAACCAAACTACCCAGGTATTCAAACTCCAAAACTTTGTTGTCCAAAGTCTGGACATTAGACACATAAAGACATTCATAAGGAACTCATGATCGACAGCGTCACGTTCATAGACATATATACATAGACGCCGCATCGACTGTGGAGCGGCGTGCCTACAGGGCGGCCATCTTTGAACAGGGCTAGCAGAGGCAGCGGTGAATCAACCTACGAAGGACAGAGGAACTCCTCAACCTCAAAGTAGAATTATTCACTGAATTTTGGACCGATTTCCAAACGTATTGATTTGTTAAAAACGTCACACATGTAGCTATGATACAGGGTGCTTGGATATTTTAAAAATGCTGGTTTTACTACCCAAATACAAATTCTACTTAATGTTATCAGCAAACGAGCTTCTGACAGAAGATTTGTGAATGAAAAGATTCCGGACTTCTATACGATATATATCTGATATTG